GAACATCAATGTCATGTTCCCACGATTTACCCAAGATCTGTTTGACTGTAAATATTTGATACAGTGCTGCTCTTCTTTGTTGGAAGCCTGTCTGATACTCTTCAATAATATTTTCTGCTAGTGGTTGGAGCCACTGCTGCTTATAATATAGGCGAGGACTTTATTTGCTGTACATAGTAGAGACATTCCACGGTAATTTTTGCACTGGAGTTTGCCTTCTTTTTTATAGATGGCGCATACTATACTTTTCTTCCAGTCGTCAGGTATTTTCTTTTCCTACCATATGTCTTTGATGAGCTCGTGGATGTGACTTTCTAGGAGGTCGCCAGCTACCTTATACAATTCTGCTGGTATTTCGTCAACTCCCGAGGCTTCATTGTTTTTCTGGGCTTTAATACTTCATTCTGTTCTACATAGTTCGTACCCATTTCATCCTCCATATCTACTTGTCTACCAAGTAGGTTCTGAAATAATGCTTCCAGGTTTTTGTGACTTTCTGTTGGCCACTGATTATTTTGCCCACTGTCATCTTTACATAGACTTGTTTGAGTTTTATACCCACTTTTTATCTTTTTTAGGTATTCATAAGCCCCTCTAATTTCGTTCATTTTGAAATTTTCTTCAATTTTTTGTATGTGTCGATTTTCATAGGCTCTTTTTTTATTACTACATATAACTTTTCTTTACATTCCTGAATCTTCAGTTTTTCCAGGTCCAGTTTGTTTGTTCTTTGTTGTCTTTCGTTTCTTTCTTTGTTAACTATGCATCTAAATTTAATTTGGAGAAAAAGATGGTCTGATCCACAGCATGCTCCTTGTCGTGATCTCACATCTGAGATACTACTGGCTGCACTTTTGTCTATCAGCACATGGTCGATTTGATTGGTTGTGGTTCCATCTGGTGAAATTAATGTCATTTTGTGTATGTCTTTATGTGGGAAGCATGTGGAACTTATAACCATGTTTTTACTGGTGGCATAATTTTTTTGACCAGATATTATATACCATTTAAAAACAAAATTTTCATTATTAAAGTTAACACAATACCATAAATCTTTTAATTTATTAATAAATACATACTTTACTTTATAATAAATGATTTAAATGAAATCGTAGGCTTCCACGGCCAGAGTCAGAATTATAGTTTATTCGTCTTCCGGGTTTGGACCGTGTCATTTGTGAGTGACCCAAAAGTGGGTTCATCTCGACGTTTCGCTACAATTGTATGTAGCTTCTTCAGGAGAACAAAGAAAAAGAAAACAAAAGGCAGGAAGATGGGTAGTTAGCAAGGACCAAGTGGAGATGAACCCACTTTTGGGTCACTCACAAATGACACGGTCCAAACCCGGAAGACGAATAAACTATAATAAATGATTTCACTGCCCGAATTTTTTTCGAAAATTATTGTCTATAAATAAAAGTCACTAAACGAACAATATTAAAACTAAAAACTATAAAAATTAATAAAAATAAACATATTTTACTGCACTTTTAAAAGATTTGGAGTCGAAACAACCTGAACGAAGAACTGCCAAAGAATGAAATTTAACTGTTGAAACGTTTAAGATGATTACTATAACTTATTTCAGACGTAAACTTGTGTTCTGTGGGCTGTGTCTAGACATAATAAGAATAAATTAGCACTCGATCGGTGGTCTGTCTATCTCTCTTTAGCACCTAGTATAATAAATGCACCTTCCACCCCACCTCCAACGTTCCGTTACTCCCACTTATATATTAGTTTGGTAGATCACACGCGTATGACAGACAAAGATAGCTAGCCCATTCAAAGTAAATAATAGTCGTTTCACCACTTCACCTCACCTCTTTCCGAAGAGCTGCCCGGCCCATACCTAACCTAGTCTATTCTAGAAGATATGATCTTGCGCATGAGGGCGGAGTTGTCGTTTATAGTGTGACGTAATGTGGAGAGGTAAAGCATAACCTCATTAAAAAGCAGAATTATCATTTAATTTTTGTAAGCGAAAGATACTCTTTTCGTTATTTAAAGATGAGGTGTTCAATAGCTCTGTGTAATAGTGACAATCAAAGTAATGTGGTTCAGAAAGATATTATGTTTTTCCGGTTCGCAAACGATCCAAAGATTGTAAAAATTTGGGTAGAGACATGTAAACGAAAGGACTATTTTATTCCTAAAAATGGAAGGATTTGCTCAAAACATTTTAGTGCAGATAGTTTCAAGAGAGATTTAAAATCTGAACTTATGGGAGTGTCTTAAAAATCACTGTCTTTTAAAAGAAAATGCAGTGCCTACATTATATTTACCTTTTGCGAAACCAGTGGAAAGCAAGAAAGATAGATAGATGTATTTAAAAATATAATACTTCTTACTACTAATAATTAATGATAATGAATTGTCTTATGTAAGAACAATAAAATAATTAGGAGTCACATTTGATGAACAGTTGCGTTTTATACAACATATAAATGATGTAACAGTTAATTCATGAAACACTTTAGGCTTTATCATTCGCAACTGTCTGAGACTATCTGTTTGGGCTTTAAGAATTGGTATTGTCTCCACAATACCAAGTCCATTCTACTACTTTGGAGAGATTGCAGAACAAATTTGTCAGATATTGTGCATATAAATTAGACATACACATTATTAATCATAATTATACAGATATTTTAAAAACACTCAAAAACACATGAATTTATTAAACACCTGACGAGATAACTCTAATTTAGTATTTGTATTTAAATTAAATGTTTTAATTTGTTCTTACTGAACTTCTATTAGTTTATATGTTCCTCTAGAAATCTCAAATATGTTTATCTGTTTTATATACCTTTTCACCGTACAAATTATGGTATGCATTCGCCTATTAAGGGAACACTGAAAATTATAAACAGGAACAATTTGGAAATATTTGGTGTCTCCTTGGCTTCATTTAAAAATCGGATAAAAAGCATGAAAGTTATAGGCACTTTTTTGTTCAATTAACATATATATATTTTTGTAACGGGGGTAATTCCGTATATTAATAAATAAATATGTTTAATTTATTCAGTCGGTTCTTCACAGTTTTTCAATCGTTTTGCAAATCCGGAAGGAGCATGTAGCAGTCTTGATTCATCATTTGGATGATTTCTCAGTCCATCAAAGTAGCTGAGTCCTAGTGTAGGGTTTTATTACTTATATACTAGAGTGCGTTGAAGATCATTCTCAATATTGGACTTGTTACATATTACTCATAGATTAAAGGAGGTATAGATAACCAACTTATGTACAAAAAAATGTTGTGATCATCAGCGCCACGTTGGAGTGTTCTGGTACTAATCAATATTTTTATCATGTTGGAGAGCTTGCTAATTGACAAACGCCTTGTGTAGTTGGTAATATTGTAAAGTTGGTAATATTGAGAGAACTCTAATCCTGTTTATATATTCGAATAAATGTGACAAATTAGTTCTGAAAGTTTTCAGAGACATTAAATTAGACCAATAATTTTCATTTAATCAAACTCAAAACATGTAGTAATTAATACATAATATTAAATTAATATGCTATGAGAGTAGGAATCATAGAAGCCTGTACTAAATTCTAACTTAACTTAAAAAAAAAACAAATATCCTTATACCACGCATTAACTAAACAATTAATATTCTAATCCTAAATACGATATTCCTTGATCTAACAGCACTTTTAACTAAAACACAAAAAACAAATATTGAATTAATACTTAATCATCAACATCAATTAATATTCGACATTCAAGAATTATGACAATAACATTCGACAGACGCCAGTTATGAAGACATCGCTATTTTAGCACAAAACATTAATAATGTTTTGTGATCTACAGAATCTACCGATAATAGCGCTTGGTGGTGTGTTCTGTAACTAATTCAATGATTACATTTTACGGATTGAAGTTGTACCCCCCTGATATTACTATGATTGGACTTGTTACATATGAGACAAACAAATCAAATATGAAAATTAACACTGTTAGTACAAGAATAACTTTTAATTTCATCTAGATTTGGTGGCCTTACACAGTATTTGATCATTGAACTTAAGAATTTAACAATGAAAATATGTCATCAAAAGAATGGCTGATTATAACATTATAATATGTGTTTTTACCCCTAATATTTTATTTACCATGTGAATTGTATGAACATATTTTAATAAACTATGTACCATTTAAAATTATTGATATGTTTAATTTCTGCCTAATTTTAAATCTCAATGAAATGTAAATACATGATACAAAAGACCACTCTTCTTTATTTGTATTATAAACGAAATAAAATCATGCTATAACCACAAATAAAAGAATTTTTATTTTTAATTTTAGCAGACTTACATAAATTAGTTTTAAATACTAAAGTTGACCAAAGCCTTTAATTAATATCCCTGGCACCGGATTAACAATATTTGCTATTTAGCTCTCGGCATCAAAAAAAGGCTTAATCCGACACGAAATATCAGATGTCTCATAAAGTGATTTAAAAAAATAATAATAAAAACAATAAATTATAAATAATAAAATATTAAAGTGATGAAATTAAGCAGCCCTTCCATGTACTTTAAGAATGTACCTCTCCGCATGACGTCACTGCGTAGAACAGACGAAATTTAGCACGCTATCGATCATACCTTCTTTTCGTTGTACCATGGTCTATTCTTATTATTTCTATGGTCCTGCGTTGATATGCTTCATAGCTCTTTAGAAAATCCAGTGCCTCCAGTTATGGGTTTATCGAAAACTATTTGGGTATTCGCCGCTCCCTTAGTTATCAGAGTTGCCTAAGACAAGAAAATAAGTAGTGATACGATAAAAATATTGGCAAAATAGTAATAGGTGACGCAAAAATATCCAAGTGATTTACTAAAAGGAGTTATATTTAAGCAAAAACTATTCTGTAGTTTTAAATTAAATGATTTTAGCAACATTTTTAAACGTTATAGGGATATTTCAAAACATTGTTAATATAATTTTCAGTACAGTTATAATTTTAATTTTGCAGAGGACTCTTATCAACAACAAGCTGTTATTGATGGAGAACCTGCATTATTGGATATTTTGGATACAGCGGGACAGGTAATGCAATTCAATAGAGGTTTGGTTATTGGTTTTATTAAATCTACGAACATATTTTTCTAAAAATCATACAAAACATACTATATATTGCTTTGCTAGTTGTTGCTTGTATACATCTTATTACATATTTTAAGGAAAACAAATCCTTTTAGGTGGAGTTCACTGCCATGAGGGACCAATACATGCGATGCGGAGAGGGTTTTTTAATCTGCTACAGTGTTACCGATCGGCACAGCTTTCAGGAAGCTCTCGAATATAAGAAATTAATCCAAAAAGTAAGAGCTTCCGAAGATACACCGTTGGTATTGGTAGGTAACAAATTTGACCTTCACATGCAACGTAAAGTCAGTACAGAGGAAGGTAAGTCTTTGGCCAGACAGTTTGGATGTCCCTTTTACGAAACATCAGCTTGTTTAAGAACCTATGTAGATGATGCTTTTCATACCTTAGTTAGAGAGATACGGAAAAAGGAAAGAGAAAAGCTAGGATTGCCCAGCAATGAACACAAGCCTCATAGGCATAGCAAATGGTGGAGGCTTAGGAGTATATTCGCGTTAGTCTTCAAGAGGAGGAGACATCAAAATTATAGCTCATAGGTTTGTGGACATTGTGGAAAATTTCAAATCTTTTTTAACATCATTAATTGTTTGGATAAATATGCTAAATACGGTTGGATGATGCATTGAAATGATTCGCGGACGTTTCGAACAATGTATATATGATTTAATTCAAGATTTGCCAAAGTATTTTGAAGAATATACAACATATTTGACTGTCTCATAAGAAGACTAATATTTCACTACCACAATATTGTACTTTGTTGTATTTAAAGGTAGCAGGACCTACCTATAACATACCAATTGAAAATCCTCACTTATAAAAATAAGTAAGTGTAATTTTTTTCCTAGAAACACCAGAGTTATCAAAATTAGAATCTGGATGATATTTACATTGCCTATTACTTAGTTTGAGTTTACTACTATAGGAATTTATTTGAATTTTAAAGCAGATTAACAAAAGCGAACTAATTTGTAAGTTGTTTTCTTTTTTTCTTGATTTTGTCGAATATTATATCCAGCATGTTGGATATTATTACGAATCATTTAAACGGATAGAAATATTGTACTCTTTTACTGTGTTCATCTAAATGTCAAATATTTGCCATATTTTTTAATGGAACAATAATATTAGTAGTTCTTATTTTAATTATGCAGTATTCTATATACAGAGTCAGAATTTCCTATGTATTATTTAAAACTAGTACGCAGTACAAACCAACAAACTAATTCACTATCAACTGATAAGTAAAATTAATTCATGTATATATGTCGATTTTGTTTTTAAAAACATTTTCAAACCCAAATGAATACGTTTCCTCCATTGTTTTTACAGAACTCAGCTCATCAATAAATCTTACTACTGTACTCAAGACTTTAAAGATAAACCAGTAGCCTGCTTTTCTGTCTTCCAGGTTTGTCTTCAACCTATCACTCTCTGTTGGGTTGCGAGTAAAGCGAAACTGTAAAGTAGGAGAACAATATTTTATAAAGAAATATCAGTAAAATACCTTTTGGGTGGTGTTTACGCCGTGGTGTGTAACACTTTAGTAATTGTGTACCAGATATGTTTCGGTCTAGTTGGAGCTCATCCGCCACTAGTACAGCCCAAGATAGATTTGTAGAAAAAAGCGAGATTCTTAGCTAAGTTTCTTGCTCAACAGAGTAAAACTGTGTAGCGATATCTAGTTTGAGTGACACTAAATAGACACTACTGTATGTAGCAACCGTAAAACTATTTGAAAAATACCTCCCTTTTATCTAGTAGGTTGTGATTTGCAGCTTTCTGTGTTTACTCCGATCATAGTTACTTCTTATCTTTATTGACATGTTTTATAATATATATTGACGTTTTATTATCCGATTTTGGTACCTTTGATCTTTCGGTAGGTATCTCAACTCACTCTTTGGCTATATCTTTTTTTCTAATAGTAAGGCGCACATATCTATCCGTTTCAGGTTCAGCATATGGAATATTTCTTGGTCTCTTGTATTTAGTGATCTGATATTTTATGAGGTTAGTCTGTTGATGTTTCGATCGTTTTCTCTTGCCTATATTTTTCAGTTCCAAGGATTCAAATTGGTTCTTGGAGCAATAATTCTTTTGTTTTTCAATTGGTAGGCTGTTACCTCTCCTACTCGTTTATCAACCTTCTACTTGTTATCCGGACTACTGATCTCTTCGATCCACCCAATAGTAACCCATTTAGCGATATATATATATATATATATATATATATATATATATATATATATATATATAATATATATATCCTCTAAAATAACAGCTGATCTGGTAGATGAAAATGGAGTTGAGGTTAATTGGGTATACAGCTGATTAAAAGCCAAGTGCACTCTGTTCAACAGTTCATTATATTTCGCCAATTTTCATTGGCATCATCAGATGAAAGCTACAATTATTCAAAACATGGTAAAAATAAAAATAATAAAGTAAAAAAATACATTCAATAGTTGTTTGTTGTTTAAGTCTTACTTGATTGAGGTTGCGGCAATATGATTTATTTTAACAAAACAATGGTTTGTGGTACGATGTGGATTGCAGCTTTTTGGGACATATAACATGTAGTTGTTGACGTTCAAAATTAAAATATTAGAAATGACACAATATAATTTAAAAACAAAAACATTAAAATAATTATTTAATAGTTATGTTTGTTTTTTTCGATATGTAATAGATAAGCATAAATCTCACTCAGATGTTCAACATCTGATTTCTTATTTATTGGATTATCCATTTGGGTGATAAATGCCATCTCGAGGAAGAGTCTTTTATTGAGATTTTATTAATGAACTACAATGAAACAAAGATTCTTGCAATAGAGAATAATCTGATCTGGCATCTGATGATGCCAATGAAAATTGGCGAAATATAATGAACTGTTGAACAGAGTGCACTTGGCTTTTAATCAGCTGTATACCCAATTAACCTCAACTCCATTTTCATATATATATATATATATATATATATATATATATATATATATGTTTACTTTCCAAAATTAAAATTATCACACCTGCTTAAATGTATCATAAGTTTGAAACTGCTTTTCTTTTGAACCGTTGATTGGATTTCGATTAATTTGTTTTACGTTATAGTTCTATTTCTAAATAGTTACTTTACCAGTAAAGGTTTGCTCCATGCGCTATAATCGAAACAGTGGCTTACCGAGGAGAGTCAATAATGATTTGGGGAGATATCTCTACGAATCTCGTACTGATCTTGCTGTGTTCGATAGAGGTAGTGTGAATGCTCAAAGATAGATAGATACGGGTAAAAGATTGACATTTTTCAGGAAACATTAGTATAGTAATTCCTTAGAAATAGACCTATAATGTGAAAAAAATATATATCATCGAAATCAAATCAACGGTTAAGAAGAAAAATAGTTTCAAACTTATGGTTCATTGAAGGTTGTTAACTTGTCTTTTCAACTTTCTTTCGACAGTTACGATTTGCAGGATGTCCTATAAATTATCGAACATGTGAAACCTTTGGTTGAATAGAAAACCCTGTAACTACACAAAGAAAGTAATCGTTAACGAAAGGAAAATTGAAAATGTAATTTCTAATGTAATCCAAACCCCAGAGTGCAGTAGGTTAAGCATGGACAGCATTCATAAAGCTAAACGACATTTTGAGAAATAGATATAAATCGTTTTCATATCTTAATTTCTAATTTGTCATTTTTATTTAATATTCCGCTAAAATTAGTCAAAGTATAAAGATTTAAAATTGTGAGAAAAAAAAAACAATGTGGACAGTCTATTCGTTACGGGTTTGAATGACACAAGTACTCACTTAGAATATTAAGTGCTATTTAAAATGCACCGTAATTAAGTTAATTACACGTTTAAATCCTTTAGTTACCGATTTATAAAATTCGTTTAATGTAAATTGGCAGAAACTATGTTATATAAGATAAATAATTTTTAACATAATGAAACTTTATAACGAAAATCGAAATAATATCGAGGTCATAAAAATTACTACTTCGTATTCATGTTAATATGTTAATATTTATATTTTGCTGTTTAAAATAGTGTTTTGGTGCCAGTTTTTGTATTTAGTCCCCGGAGTAATAAACAACAAAAATGATCACTGGGAACGGTTTTCAGCAAAAGGAAATATGGTGCTTCATAAGAGGTCAAAGAACGGATGTAAAGGAACTAATAGAACCAAAACACATACAAAAGGATACGTGGCTTGACTACCTAAAAAAGCTTTATGCAGAGGAAGCAGAAAACAGAAAAGCAGCAAGTAAAGGCGAGATTCCAAACGAATTACTGAAATATTGTGGAGCAGCAATGACAGAACCATTAACAACATTAATTAATAAAATTATAAAATACAATAAAATACTATTGGTTCTACTATTCAAAAAAGGAGATAAAACACAGCTAGAAAACTACAGAGGTATATATTTACTAACTATATACTACGCATAAACTTACAACTAAAATTTTACAGGTGTTAATAAATCACGAGGATAAGTTTAGCAGATGAACAACCGGGTTTTCGTAGTGGAAGATCATGTACAGATGCAATATTCGAGTATAATAGACTAACATTTCTGTGTCCGATTGACTAAAGAAAGCGTTTGGCAGATTAAGACTCGAAAGATGTAATCTATCTTTTGTATACTAGTCAGAAGTCAGAATAAATGGACAACTTACAGAACCTGTAGAAATAGGCAGCGGAATAAGACAAGGGGACTCATTGAGCCCCATGCTCTTCGATTTGATCACGGATGGAATCATCAAAAGCGGTAACAAAGGAAGAGGATCCAGAATGGAAAACAAAAGAAATAAAAATACTCCGTTACGCAGCCGACGCAATATTAATAGCCCAAGATGAAGATAGTCCGCAAAGACTGGTCCACAGATTTAGCATAAGAGCAAAAGAATTTAATATGACAATCTCATCTCAGGAAACTAAAACAATAGTAGTACCAACTAGATTTAAAATAGAAATTAATGGCATCAGTATTGAACAAGTAATGGATCAAGTACAAAAAGCAAATAGACGGACAGGATGCCTTAATAACACTATATGGCGAAACAGACAGATTAACACTAAGATGAAGTCAAAAATTTATAAAGCCAGTGTAAGACCAATAATGACATACGCCTCAAAAACAAGACCTGGCACAGCCACAACGCAAAGGCTACTGGAAACGGCAGAGATGAGAGTACCGAGAAGAATTACAGGAAATACGCTGAGAGATCGAAAGAGAAGTGAAGACATTAGAAGAAAATGTTACGTACAGTGTATAAATGAATGGACACAAAATAGAAAGAAAGAATGGAATACCCACATAAGCAGTTAGGAGTGGAGGAGACCCACCCATGTTGTTAAAATAGCAATAGATAAGTCACCAATCGACAGAAGACGTATCGGACGACCGCGCAAAATATGGAGTGACCTAACCTTCCATAGAGGTATTAATCCGACAGTAAACAAGCAGAATTGCTTATAAAGAGGAAGAAGAAGAGTAATAAACAAAAATTAATATCATTAAAAATGAATGAAATGCTTTTAAAATAATCCAGCCATGGTCGCCATATTCGAGTAAGGACTCAATATGTTCCCTTTTAGTTAAAAATCCATAATCATCGACATTACATGATTCAATTTGAAATTTCTTGAACAACTTCTAAAACGCTCCAAATAGCTCAGAGAAAAATGGAAAGGTCAATCCTGACTATATCGCTTCGGGACCGAATAAGAAATGAAGACTTAAGATAAAGAACAGGAGTTATCCATGTAATTTCCCGATGTGCCATACTGAAATGGACACGTCGCTTGAATCAGTGATGAAAGGTGGACGAAGAGATTGCTTCAGTGGTTAGACAAAAGAAGTAGAAGAAGACTCCTACCTAGAGAGGCATATGTCCAGCAGTGGACGCAAAGGGCTGGATGATGATGAACATTTTAAATGTAAATTAAAGGTTTTTATACCGTGTTTTTGCAAATGCTTTAATTAAGTAATTGTGCCAAATGTTTTTAATTAACAGCCAAAATTTTACCCCTTTGCATTAAAATGGGACTACTTACTTCCAAGTATCACTGATGATAGGACTGAAATCGTTTAGAAAAATTATAATCCGTTTGGATATTCCAATAATTTTATCAATTATTACACCAATAACAGAAGTTATACACTTCATTGCAAGTTTTTTATCTATACAACCAACCACTGGAAATTTTCCCTTTGTAAGAAATTTTAGAATGTTTAGATCAGATAGATAATAGACATACGGTATTTAATAATTTTTGTAACTGTAAATTGATTATTGGTGATCCGGTATTATTTACGATTTTCATTATAAACATATGTTATATGTACGTATGTATCTAAATCGTATTTTAGACTTTGTAGGAAGTAACTCCGACGCTGTAATAATGACGAAAGTCATTAGAAATTGTTTACATTATGTAAACTGATTTTATTTTCTTGAAATTGTTTAATTAGGAGTGGTTGAATTGTAAGACCAGTGTTGCATTTATAAAAATTATTGAGAATTTGAGATATTTGTTGTGTAGTGTTAAGGTACCTAGAATATTGTTGACGATTAAGATTTTATTTATTGTTTTTTTACAAATATTTGCCGCTCAGAGGCTTAAATGCAATATGACAATTTTTTAGATATGTATAGATTTAATCTACTTACAGGGGAAGTTGAGACCAAAATATATGTTTAGTCAAGCATTTACAGTGTTCCTCAATTTTTTATGCACCAGGTAATCGATTATGTTTCAACTCATGCTTTTTTTCTTAATATTTCTCAAAGTATTCCAAAAGGCATGGGAATCACCTAAATCTATTCTGTAATTAAAATACTGCTTTAAAATTCTCAAATATGTATTAATGAGGAAACTCCACATAAAGACAGAGAAGTGTATACAAGATATAGAACTAAAAGCAAAACAGATCAAATATCTGTAACTATTAACATTTTTTTGCGACAAAAAGTTTCACGTAACACATCGATTTTTATTCCACGGGGATTCTTCTATCATCTCCTCAACTGTAATCTCTTCTTCCACACCCATCGTGTATATAAGTACTAAGTGACGCACATTATTGAAAAGATTATTTCATAAGGAATCCAGGTTCGTTAAGGTATTATTACATTCTAGAGTTTTTACATTTTTAGTTTTTTCGCGTTCAAGAATTGTAATGATAATTTTGTCTACCACATTGGGATCATTATACAAAACGATACAAAACAAAAATGTTAAAAATGTAGACGGTAATGCAGCATTCTAGACGGTAATAGTACCTTAACAACTCTTTAGTTGGGTACTCTTCTTCTTTAGGTGCCCTGTCCGCTGCGAACGTTGGCTATTAACATGACAATTATGATCTTGCTTAGTTGAGTTCTGTCTTCTTCTTCCTGTCACTCGTCTGTTGTTCACTGCATTAACCTGATTGTAATTCATCTATGCTACTGGCAAGGATCCCTCCTTCATCGGCATGTCTTATGTTGTTGATTAAATCACCGTTTATTTTTACATGCCCTCTATTGCATTTTCCAGATTTTTAAATAAACAACTTAATGCATAATTTATGACAGTAGTAAATAATACTACAAACTTTTCAATTTAAACAAACTTGAATAACAAACTTGTAAACTAGAATAATTCACCGTAGATGTCCAAAGTGTTCAAACATTTCTGTACTTATTTAACAACGTTCACTAATAATATGTTGCCAGTATAGTATCTTTTCTAAAGAACCTGACGGATCTGTGTATATTTGACTTTTTCAATATCCCCACAAAAAGTAATCTAAGAGATAACTAAGGAGATTTTGGAGGCCATTCAATTAATCCTCTTATTTAAATCGAATTTCTAGGGCAGGGGTCACCAATTATATTCCTTGGGGGTCTATTTCGAAAACCTACTACACTTCCGCGGTCCGGACACTCAGCACTAAACCAGGCAGTGGCGAAAGGGGGGGTAATACTCAGAAACCCCTGTAGTTGTAACCTTACCTCAGAAGATCATACTTATTACGTAATTTATTATTTATTAACGCACGAAGTTGACAAGCTGTGCTGTATCTGTAATATCGCATGACTCATCCATTGCCAAAGCAAAATATTTAGTGACAGCCAAGATTTGTTTTAACGTTTTCTTTGTTTCATCTGCCAATGCCTGTGTATTCCTTGTGCTTGAAGTAGTAGATATTGGAATACGCTAAATAGTATCGACAACATCCTTTTTATTTTCAAATAATCAATTTCCTGCTTCCACAAAACACTCTTTAACGATAGCTGCGTCACTAAATGGCTTCATATGTTTGGCAAGTGTCCAGGAAATGCGTAAAGAAGCCGCGGAACATTTCATTCTTAGATTTGATTATAATTTTACACTATAATTTTATTACTATATTTTGAATTTAACGGCGGTCCGCAAAAAACAAGCTCACGGTCCAGATGCGGACCGCGGTCCGCCATTTGGTGACCCGTGCTCTAGGGAATATTTCATTGAATTACTTCCGCTACAATAAATTTTGGAAGTGCTCCATTCTGTTGAAATATTAGGTGATCTTCGAGGTATCTTTTCCTCTTATGTTTGTTGACATTGTTTCAACAGTGATTTCAAGTAAATCCAAATACATGTCTCCAGTCAACTTTTCTGGGTTATAAGAATGTACTTATACGAAATATTCTTGGATTGGAATCAATACCAACAATTATGTTGATTGCAATGAAATTGACTTCTAACAAAAAAAATATATCTTTTAAGTCCTTGAGGTCCCATACCAATTTTCCACAGACTGCGATCACAGAATAGTGAAAAGTAAAATTAGTGAAGAATTCGACCGTTACTTGATGGAAGTTCATTTTATCTAACAATAAAACACTGAAAACTTTTGTTTTCAAAATGAGTACAACGAACAAACAATAAACAAAATTTTCACACCGCCAGCCACATTTAGTACGTTATGTACTTAAATTGTACTAGTGGCAAAGTCACGGGTAGGGAGACCTGACAGTGGTGAATATGACAGAAATATGTTCCCTGTGGAATTAAAATGGTTTTGCATTTCTTTAAAAAAGTACTCGATATTTATAACGAATATAAACGTTTAAAATGTTTTATTATATATATGGTATAAAGTAAGTGCCTAAATATGACCGATTGCCTGGTGCTTTAGTATTTTTTGAATAACAGCATTTATACTACTTAAAATTTATATTTTGGTTGTACCAAATATTATTCTGTAATCTTTGTGTTGCAGATGTGATTAAAATGCACATTTATTTTTAATATCGGACTATGATGACCTTTTTGTTAAAATGTGTTTGTCTTTTTATTAATATTTGGTGGAACGATAGTAACTAATGGAAAAGACGATGTAATGGGGAAGTGTACTAATTGTATGGTAACCCTCGAATAACAAAAGTAGTCAAAAGATTGATATTGATTGAGTAGGCCACCTAGAATGATTGGATGGTATTATACAGGTCAATAATTTTGAAGGGAGGTTACCAGAGGGCAGAGGGCACAAAATGGAGACAAACCACGAAGGAAATGAAAAGATTCACCGGTGAATTACTGCTTGTAAAAGAGGTGGGAATGAGACTGGAAACTGTTGAAAAAAAGGACAGAAATTGTCTTTAAAAGTATTCACCCCTCATCAGGAACACTTGTGATAGCTTAAACTGAAATAAAATGTTGTCAACTATATGGCCGTTATAGTAACATCATGACTGAGTATGCTAGTAGCGACCTAGAGATAGGTCGGCGGATAAGCGGATAATAAAAAGAGGACAATTAAGGAGACACCTCTCATCGTATATCTGAAGCAAATTGTGTAGCAAACTGATCAATAGAATGCTGCAAGAGCTGTTTACCGATACTGGTAGCAGAAATAACTTATTATTTATAATTAACAGATCAATAATAACAACACAAAACTAACAATAATCACAAGCAGATTAGAATTTAGAACTAATTAGAATTAGCAGATTAGAACTAAGTTATAATACCAACAACAAGCTTCAACACCGAGGCCAAATACGTCTTGAATTATCAAAAGTTCGTTTACCACCAATTGACAAAAACAAATTTTGCAGGTTGTTTTTATTGTAGTTGACAGATACTTTCTGCATCAATGTCAAAAATTCATCTTTCATGTTGTTTAAAACATACATTTTAATCACATCTACCACATAAATTATTTTTAGTTACCTATTTACTAGTAATTTTTTCAGGTTAGTTACCTAGAAATTTTATATTAAAATTTGTACATTATCACGTTACATTACAAAGTTTTTAAATATATCTTTTGTTCTAGTCATTGATTGCGAAATGTATCTTAATGGAATGCACATTATGTAAACGTTAAAATAATAAAACGTGTTGCTAGTGTTTCATAAAAAGTATTATCAGGAGTCCAATGCTAGGAGCGTATATAATGAATTTATAGGGCTCATGATATTTTTGGTGTCCTATGCTTGGTACTTTTCGGATAAAATCTAAATGGTTACTTCGTTTATTTTAGGGTTTTGATGACTTACCTCTTTTTGAAGACGGAAATACGAACGGAACGTCTTCGACACGAGAGATTATTATAATGTTCAACAGTTAAGCCACTAAATCAAAATGCTTCTTCTTCAGGTATCCTCCTCTAACAAATGTTGGCGATGGCGTGGTGTTCGTTAGAATTGAATTCTAAGCCAGTCCATTCTTTGGTGTCTCTTAGCCACGTCACCTATCGTCTTCCAGGGCCTCATCTGTTCCCAATCTTTCCTTCCATTATCAGCTATAGAAAGATATCTCTCGTGTCTAAGACGTGTCCAAGATAAGTTGTTTTTTGGTTTTTTACTATTCTTAAAAGTTCTTGATTCAGGCGCATTTGCCCTAAAACTAATTCATTTATTATCTGATTCGTCAATGGAACCTTCAGCGTGCGGCGACCTACCCGTATCTCAAAGTACTCTAGTCTTCTACCTTTTTATCTCTTGGCCTGGAGCTAGTCTATTATTTTATTGATTACACAGTGAAGGTATCTGAATCTTTTCACCTACTAAATGATATGCCCCTTAATCAATATATTTATTGACGGAAGAGGGATAAAGGGTTATTTTTAGAAAGTATCATTGTTTTTGTTTTATTTTCATTGACTGATACCATAAATTTGTTTGTCATTGCTGCATGATTCTATTTGTTACATTTGTATATCGTTATCAGCTAATAGTACAGCCAATCGGCATATCTAATGTTTATGATTTTCTCACTTTTTCAACGGAGGGTACAATGCAGCCTTGTCTAATGCCTCTGAGTATTAATGACTTCGGTATCACCAAGCTCTCCTCTAAAAAAGCATCTTTATTACAGTCGTGTATCTTTTGTATTGTTCTAATGTCTTGTTGAAAACAAATAATTTTTAAATAAAACTCATTTATTTGCTAGCAATTTTCTTGTTATTGTGCCGAATTTCTTTATTTGTTCAGTTTTTATATCATAAAGCTTTGCCATTTTTACAGAGATTGATAGCTTTGTTGATATCCACCAATGTAAAGAGTCTTTACAGCTCCTCAGTCTCCCTTTTTGGATCCATTATTTTCTCACGTTTAAGCAGTTGGTGAACGATCTGGTCAGCTTTAACGTTTACATCTCTAATATTTTTGTGGGATCTCGCCCATCGCCTCATAGTGACCTGGCCTTTTGGCTATGTCTCTCCATGTCCAGGTCCCCATTAATGTTATCCATCTTTCTTTTTTGGTTTCTGTGATTGCTGAAATTATATAGACTGAGAGAAACGGACATAAAAATTCGGAAACTCCAATATGGATGTGCATTCTTGTCAAAACATTTTCCTGTAAAGAATAGATCTAAAAAAACCACTGTAATCATTGCGAATTAACTGGAAAACTAGCAAGTTTTTTTTTATATTTTATTCTATTTGATAATTTAAGTATTTATAGACATTAATAATCATGTATAAATTAATGTGCTTCCGTAAGATCCATTCCGCATATTTTTACGGGGTCTGGTAATATATGTGTTTAATTTAAATCAATCGTATACACAATATTTCACTGTGTTCCGAAATAAGAAACGAATTTCTATTAAAATATTTTTAGCTTACGAATATGCAGCTTTCATGCCTGTTGTTGATATACAAGGATTTTTTTTTATCGAAACAATTATTTTATGTAAGTGTTGCTGTATATGCATGTTAAAAATGTTGACAATCAAAAATAGACGAAATATGTGTCAAAATCGTTTACTAACGTTTATATTCACCTCAACGTAATACTTAGCCCATTTTGTTAAAAATGTCGAATTATTTAAAAAAAAAACTATTAATATCTTTTAATTTGTGACTTCTTTTTCGCTACATTAGCCCTGCGAATTTTTCTAAACAGAACTCTTTTCTAACTCTTTCATGACTCATGCCGTAAAAAATCGTTGTTAAACAGATAAAAGTTGCATGGTACAAGTTTAAATGAATTATAGAGATTTTTGTTAATATTTTTATTGGTTTTCACACGTGGGGGTAACTCGGTTTTGTTTCGTCTTCAATGTAATCTTCCACTCTCTAAACTTGTGCACGTGACAAGTATTATTTTTTATTTAAATAAATATACCATTTCATCATCTAGACCAAATGTCCCATACGATAGTTGGGACGTAAGTTTTGAAAAAAAAACTAACATGTTAAATTAACAATCTGAAGAAATTTTGGTCAAATTTAAATATTAATGGACGAACTTATTGTATACTGCCAAGGAAAATCCGCAGTTGCAACCTCATCTTTATTACAAAATTCTGTCCAGTCCCTTAATACATGGTCCAAAAAACAGGCTTAAGGTTCTCTTCCAATAAATCTAAAATAATTACATTCACCAGGAGATACAACAACTCTAAAATATCCAAAATAACACTAAACGGAATAAATTTAAAGTTAATAATTGGTCATTACAAGTTTTTAGGACTAACTGTCGATAACAAACTCACCTGGCCTCGTCATATAGATGAAATAAAAGGCAACTGATTAAGCCGAATGAATCTTTTAAAGACATTTTCCCACCATCAATGGAGTGCCGATGAAAGTGTACTACTTAAAATATATCAAGCTATAATTCGATCCAAAATAGAGATGTCAGATATAGAATAAAACGGCTTTCGTGCGGGCAGATCTTTAATAGACAGCATATTTTCTCTAAAGCAGGTTATTGAGAAAATATTAGCCCACAACCTTTCAACTCATGTAGTCATTTGACAAAGGCATACAATAGTGTAACACTTTCAATACTTTGGGCAGCAATAAAAAAACAGCTTTACCAAAATATGGCGGTAAACATTAAAACTGGAAATAAATTAACTAGAGAAATTCCTATTAGTAAGGGTAGAAAAAAACGAGAGTTTGTACACGATACACTTTGCTGACGACCAAGCCATTCTAGCTGAAGACGAGAGTGATATAGATTATATGCTTAGAAAACTGGAGGAGGAGTACATCAAGTGGGGCTTTACAATTAATATACAAAAAACCGAGTATTTAGTTACAGGAGAAAAACCAGAAAGCCTACAAATTGAAATGGGAACTATAAAATCAACTGAAACCTTCAAATACTTGGAATCCAAATAACATCAAAAGTTGCCAATCAAGAGTCGCCAACTGGCAAATATATTTTGTCGCTTTAAGTTGGGTATAAGCATCATCGACATTTTATAAATGTCTATGGCATAAAATATTCCGATCAAATGTCATGTCTATTCTACTGTGCGGATGTGAAACCTGGAAAGGGACAAACACTCTCACAGACAAACTGCAGGTCTTTGTTAATAAACGCCTACGAAGAATTGTTCGTATATTCTGGCCTAACACCATCAGAAACGAAGATCTGCTACACCTGACCGAACAAAAGAGGGTACAAAATGAAATTAAGTCCAGAAAGTGGGGTTGGATCAGTCACACACTCCGAAAAAATAGTTACAGTATCGCAAATACTGCCCTAGAGTGGAATCCCCAAGGGAAAAGAAAAAGAGGTCGCCCAGTACAAACTTGGAGAAGATCGATCCATCATGGACGAGATAAGAGGCCAATAGTCTTGGAATGAGGTGAAGGCCTTAGCGCAAAATAGAACCCGATGGCGCGTTTTCACTGAAGCTCTATGCTCCACTTAGGGGTTCAAGAACCTTTATGAGTCTGAACGAAGAGTTGGAAATTAAAGGACTTGGGGAAAGACGAATAAGGTCTAAAAGGACAGCCTGCATCCTGTTGTAAGTTCTAAGTTACAAAAGTCATAAAAAATTCTTTAGTTTTTTTATCAGCAATTTATCACTAGGAAATTTCGTGGGTTTATGGAACTTTCAGTGTTTCTGAAATAAGTGTTTTAAATCAAAATTTTTAGGAAGCGGTTTTTCAAGGGAAGATTACTTTTGTTTTTAAAATTCGTTTTATCCAATGTTGCCTATTTCCTAAATGTACATAATAATAAAAGCAATACCGTTTTGAGCGTTAAATAGGTTGGTAATAAACAGATGAAGTCTCTGTCTTTATCTAATAACAGGTATATATTTGTAATATATATCGAGATTACTGTAGTGAAAGAAAAGCAAAAGACTAGAGGTGATCGTGGCTAAAGTCGATAGTTAATAAATTAATATTGTTAGATTTAGCCGTATTTAAATCGAAAATAAAATAATTGTAACCAATTTCAAAGATTTTTTACAGACAGTAGAATACTTAGTAGTTTCAGTTACAGAATTTGTATATATAATAATTTAATTTATTATAATACTTATAAAAATACGTATTAATGACGAAGTTAAACACCTTAAAACTTGTTCATAGTCATTTTTTGATATGGGGTGTTTATTTATCAGTTCGGTTAATAACTTCGTTATTATTAAAAATGTTTACACAATTTATATCATATCTATCTGGAGACACTTCAAATTCAGAGGCAATCTTTTTAACAAAATAAAATAGAATGGTTCTGATTGTATAATAAATAAAAAAACATTCATTACAATCTATCTAACTAACTATATTACTGTCTATCTACGAAATTTAGCATAAATAATAGACTTAACTGGATTAATATTAATTGGTATTGACAACTACGTACTACTTATCCACCATTACCTCTACTATTCCTTGGCCCCTCTACTTAGGAGAGATATTTGATTATTAAAAAGGCCACTTAGTAACCCAGACCCTGCGTGTATTGTAATAAAAATCCAAATGTTAGTTATTAAAATGAATGTCTATATAAATATATGTATACAAGTCAAGATATAAAATGTAAAAAAAATAAAAGCAATAATGTGTTATGATATATAAACCTGTAACTATTTTGCGAGTTATTGTGTATCAGCAGGTATGCGGTATTACCAGTTATTTTTTTAGAGCCCTAAAATAAAATATAGCTTTAATGTAATATTTTTTATTTGAAAGAATAAAAAAGTATTCTTTTTTGAATTTTTTTTTATTTCATCATGTATATAAAAGTTGTGAATATTGTGTAGCAAACTGCTTTTACAAAAGAAACAATGACAATATATGTTTATCCAGATTGAAGCTATATTCTCCTATGTTGGTCTGAGTACTTGAGTCCGGACAACTACGTGAACTGTGGAAAAGTTCTCCATTCCGAATACGGCGCCTCAATGGCTAATATGAAATGTCTTATGCACTAAATATACAATAAAGATGCACCAGGAATAAACAAACTAATACATTATGAATGTTACGTGGAGCACTCACACAAATCATGATTTTAACCATGTGTAAACGTACATACCTACCTCATAAACTATATTAACAGAAATCGTAGCATAAGCTATAGGCAACGCTAGTAAAGTTCATTTACAATTATAAGAACTGACTTATGCAGAATTAAGTATCCCGCTGATAAAGTCGAAGCCATAAAGGGATTTGCCTCTTTAGGTAACTAGTAAAAAGGACCGGCTTAACGAATTTTACATTTTATTTGGCATTTACATTACATATTTAATTTAAATAAATATCTAGATAATTAAGGGAAAATACATAAACTGATGGAGTATTAGAATTAATTAATTATTATATTTTTCTGTGTCGATTTTTTATTAATTATATCCAAATTTTGAAAGTTATAAACAATTTTTGTTATGTTAAACAATTGCAAGTGAAATAATAAAATAGTGAAGTTAAAATTAAAATGAATTAATGTAGGAATTGCATGTAAGGGAAGAAGTTTTTCAATTGTTAGTAAGGTATAAAATATGTCTGAAAAAGTTGGCAACAAATGGGAAATTTATTTATTAAATTCATGAAAAAAACTATTCTTCATAACAATTTCTACATTGCATAGAAATCAATAATCAAATTTATAAAATTTTAAGTGGTATACAGCGAAATTCAAAAATATTGATTTATGCTTAAAGGTGAAGTGCTTTTAAATTTATTTAAATTAAAATGTCATTTTAATTTGGATTAAAATGTCATTTTAATTTGGTTGTAGGAATTAAAAATTATATTTAAATTTAGAGTCACGGTCTTTTATACAATATACAAAATCAACAAATGCAAAAGTATTTTTTTATTTACTTTTTACTTTAAATGTATTATTTAATTATCAGAAGGCCATGAATATAAACTTGGACATAATTTTTAATACTTACAAACATATTGAAATTACATTTTCTTGCATATCTAAATTTAAAATCACTTTCCTCTTCAGTATTAATTAATAATTTTGATTTTACCTATCTACCACTTAATATTTTATAAGATTATTGATTAATGATTTCTATGTGATGCATAACCTTTAATGAAGAATAATTTTTTTCATGAAATTATTAATAAAGAAATTTCCCGTTTTTGCCAACTTTTTCAGACATGAAACGGAAAACTTAAACATAACAAGTCAACGAGAATAAATATGAACCTTTTAAAACGAGTAAATTGGTACTCACCGGAGGGACCGCAAATCTTCGGATACAATTAGCGTCTCTTTGTAAAGACAATGAAGTCGACTTTACTAAAGTAAAAAGACATTTACTCAACACAAACTTATAGTGATAACTTATAGTCTAAAAAAATCATTATGAAATTGACTGGCCAGTTGGTTGTGAAAACCAGTGCCAATAAAACACACACACACAAAACGAGTATAAATATTACATCACATAGATAGTATGTCAAATCTGTGTCACTATCACTGAGGTCTCTTAAATTGATGATAATATTTTGTATATTATGTGTAGAAAAATATGAATTCTCAGCCTTCATTTTTTCAACTATTCGCATCAATGTTGAGTACTTACCTTTCAATTAGATGCATTTAAATGTGGCGAAGTATTATTTCTTCGAATTCTTCACTTAAGTTGATGCCACATATGTTCGATTGGGTTAAATACACCGTAATATGGCAGAAGTCTTAAAATCGTATGACCCATATTTTCGACATAATTATCACGAAAGTATTTTTTTTTCAATGCGAAACTTTTTAAAATGTCCAATAAATCCTTCTTAATACTATTTATGTGAAAATAAATATCTTTGTCATATAAGTAATTCTGTATTGTTATTTTCGTATCGCTCGAACTGGGAATTTTATTTAATTGCCTGCTATGATATGTTGCATTGTCCTAACTATAACACTATTAGAGAGGATGTTGGGTATTAACTTATTTTTAAACCAGTCTTCGTGAGTATCATACCACGTTTAATCCAAATAAATAATAAGTCGATTCTCTCGACGATACTGTTTAATTTTGTTTAAATATTCCGTTCGCCATATCCGTAAACGATAGGATTCCATAAGTACCTGTCTTTTAGGTACTTTTTTGTATTTAAACCCTATACGTTGCAAACACTTCTACCGCACTTAATTTCAGTGTTGACGTGAAGCCTATCAACTAATATATCTAGTGTGGGTACAATTTGTTCTTCATACAAGGCATACACTTTACGATGAATAAAATCTTCATCTGCACGATGGAGCTTCCGAGAAATACTGTTATTACGTTAATCTCGGTATAATATGATTACTTAAATTTTTCTGACTGGATAATAGCTTTTTAGGCAAAGTTGCCGTTTCGTGTAAGGCTTCGTTACTGCCCATGTTTTTTTCGACAAGAATTTGAAAAACATTGGCATTTGTTTTGCATCAGTAGATAAATATATAATGATATATTAAAAATTATTGTCGATTTTTATCCTTTGCAGGTGTTCTTATTAGTATTTTCTTGGCCAATAAAAAAATGCCCAGTGAGAACGCGTCATTAAAACAATAAAACATTTTGTCTAAAAAAATTTGTTGAAAATAAAAATACATATTTGTTACAGTTATTAATGAAAAAATACAGACTATTTTTTTTTTCAAACAAATACGAGATTCTTATCTGCTTTTTAGAATTTAGCTTCTCGGTAATGATAAGAGAATCTAAGATTTTCAGTGAACTAAAAATAGAGTGACTTACGTCATTTTTACTTTCGACGTAACGTCTATGTTGCGTTATAGGGTTTGTTGCTTCAGCCGCACTCGTAACATGCACTTAAGCACTTCAGCGATTATCTCTGCATCGGTTATTTCACCACATGCTGCAACATCTTCATCCACGTTGACAAAATCTTCATATTAGATGGAAGGATCAGAAATGACATCCCCCAGCAGTCAACTGAAAGCAGCTCTTCTGTTAAAGTGTGCGTTCTCCTCCTTTTTTATGAAACCAGCTTTTTTGAAACAGTGTTTAATCGTTTCGGGTGTTACTTTGTCCCAAGCTTTCTTACATATTCGAGATGCTTGTTGAATGTCTAACTTTATTTTAAGGGAGCCGCAATCTCCCGTCAATATGTTTTCAACCAAAATACGTATGTAAAAATGTTTTAAATTTTTTATGATACCCCGGTCCATAGCCTGAAGAACTGAAGTGATGTTAGCAGAGAAAAAGTAACTTTTACATTTTCCACACATTATGCATAGGTTATAGCAGTTGTCGTGTGTTGTCGTTAGTAGTGTTACAGCGTTGTAATAGGTGACTTTGATCACAATTTCAAGTACTTTCTATACTAGCTGACGAAATAAAAAAAAAATAAAACTAAAAGTAAGTACAATCTGACTCTTATTGTAGCAAATATATGCTCTGATAATAAAATATTAGGTATTTTGTGAGTAAAAAATGTTGTGTAACTTTAAAGTTACAGTGGTCCATAATGTATAACATATTTTTTTTGCAGGTCGTAACAAAAATGTAACCTATCTGTATAAAATCATTTTATGGCAAGAAAGGACTAAATAATGTTCAAATAAGAGCCATTGGTGGATATGACTCTGAAGATTCCATTCTAGAATCCGACAGTGACGATGATGAAGTGATACATATTTCAGAAAATGTTTGTTCGGAAGAAGTGAGCTTGGAAGATATGGAAGACAATAATGAGAACCAGGAAGATGATAATGAAAAGGAGGATGTAATGGCATCGAAAATGACGTGCTCAATCATCAGAATATCACATGGAAACGAATTACTAGTCGTTCTGCACAGCCAATTCAACCTTGGAAAGGTAGTTTATCGCCAAAACCTGAAAACCCGTATACTCCAATCAAGTATTTTAGAACGATGATAGATAACAATATTTTGGATAATATCGTTTATCAAACAAATCTGTATTCTACCCAAAAGAACACCGAAAAATCTTTAAATGTGGACAAGAACGAAATAGAACAGTTTTTCGGTGTATGTTTGTTCATGTCAGTGTATGGTTTACCCTCAACTAGAATGTACTGGAAAGCGTCTACTCGAATTTCGGTTGTTGCAGAAACTATGAGTCAGAATCGCTGGGAAGAAATAAACAATATCCACTTCAATGACAATAGTCAGATAATTCCCGGAGATAAGTTATACAAAATCAAACCCCTTTTAGAACCAGTTATAGAAAATTTTCGGAAAATTCCAATGACAGAAAAACTCTCATTAGATGAACAAGTTATTCCTTTCAACGTCTAAAAATGTATATAAAAAATAAACCAAAAAAATGGGGCTATAAAGCGTTTCTCCTATGCGATACCAACGGAATTGTATATAATTTTGAACTATTTACTGGTAAAGAAAAGCATCCAGAATCTTTACCAAATGTTGATGTTAGCGGAAATGTGGTTCTTCGATTGGCCACAACAATTCCAAGAAATGCTTACCATAAGATATATTTTGATAACTGGTTTACAAGTATGCAATTGCAAATCGAACTGGACAAGTTGTGTATTCACTCTGTAGGTACGGTGCGTTCTAACAGATTAAAAGGATATAATTTCTCTACCGACAAAGATATGAAAAAGTTTCGAAGAACTTGTCTACAAGAAAGAAGGAATGACCTTTAGTCAAATGGTACGACAACAAGCCGGTGCATTTACTGAGTTCGTTTGTAGGCACGTATCCTACAAGTCAAGTTCAAAGATGGGACTAAGCAAAGAAAGAAACCATTCTTGTGATATGTCCTAACATTGTAACATTTTACAATAAATGTATGGGCGGGGTGGACTTAATGGACTCGTTGATGGCTTTATATAGAACTAGGATTCGTTCTAAAAAGTGGTACCTCCGCATTCCGTGTTCCATATATTTGATTTAGCAGTTGTGAACGCTTGGTTACTTTATAGAAGAGACACTCAGTTACTTGGTATAAGAAAAACCGATGAACTAAGTCTTTTAGATTTCAAAGCATCTACTGCCGCTTGTCTTTGTCAAGAGGGTAAAGAGAGACTCAAAAAGAGGGGAAGGCCCAGTCTATCTATAATAGAACAAGAAATCGAACAGAAAAGGAAAAGAGCACCTATCGCTTCTCTACCGGAGAAAAACATACGGAAAGACGGAATAGAGCATTGGCCTAAATTTTCAGAAAAGCGCGGACGTTGCAAAAAACCGGGATGCCTAGGCGTACCAAAAGTATTGTGTGAAAAATGTAATGTAAATATGTGCTTTACGCCTAATTCTAATTGCTTTGTGGACTTTCATAAAAATTAACTTTTTTCCCATTGTAACTTGAGAGTCACAGATGTAAGTATGCAACAGAAGAAATTTTTTTTGCAGTTAAAAAAAATTAGGCAGTACAAGATTAAAATAGGTCCATCTCGTCAACATTGAAGATATCTCTTTCATCTATATCCCGAATCATCTCATCCAATTTTTTTTCCATTGGTTAGCTTCTTGCGGTATAACGGCTCCACAAATGGTTTTGAACGAAATTTTGTAGCGTTCTTTGAAACCGTCGAGCCACCCTGTACTCGCCTTAAAATTGTTTTTCCCCATTTCAATAGCAAATTGTTCAGCTTTTCTTCTTATAAGGGGACCACTCACGGGAATCTTCTTATCCCTGGCTTGTTGGAACCATTTCATGATACTATAAACTACAGATAAACCCACGCGCACGCGATCAGTCGTGTGACGTCACTTGGCGACAAATGTCACCAGAAATGTTCTGTGTTGTATGGAGTTTTTTCAGATTTAGTCAAGGTTAGTAGATATTTAAGTATCTCTGGTATCTACTTAAATATCTACTAACCTTGAGATTTAGTTTTGTTTTATCGTTTATCTTGTACGTTGACATCGGTTTACTGGGTAAACCATCTTTCCGAAGGAGGTTTACTTAAACCATATCCAGATTTTCTAATTAAATGTAATGAACTGGACCATATTTTTTAACAATTTTAACAAAGGGTTATTAAAATTAACCAAGAATTATTTAAAATCGCTAATGGATTTAGCTGTGTTCAGATGTAATGTTAGTAAAGGTGTAAATTATATTTTAAAATTAGAAAATTGAATAGATATATTAAAGAAACATTCAAAGTTAAGAAGAAGAAAATATTAAAAATTGTAAAATAAATTGTTAAATAAACTTGTAAATTATTAGTGTATTTTATTTTATCATTTGTATTAAATTTTTATTTTAATAAATCAATCCATTGTATATAAATTTCCATTTGCAAAAGGAAGTTTAGTTCTTACTTTTTTATATAATTTTAGTTTACATTGCTAGGCTAACAGAGATGTATGTATAACATATTTTTAAGATTTAATTGCAGATATTTTACCTAACATCCCTTAATATTCTAAATATTTAAATAAAAACCCCTTTCTTTCCATATATGTTTTACCGACTGTGATGATAAAAGGTTGGTGATAAAAGTGACTTTTATCACCAATTGACGTCATGCGCGTCGATGTACAAAATTCGATTTCGAAGTGGGTTTATCTTGGAAGTCTTAGTATCATGGAACCATTTTAAAACACAACTGTCTAAATTTTGATTTTCTGGCTCCCTTAACCTTTTTCGATCTTTACCGCACTCTCTTTCGCTGTTGAGAATTTTTTCTTTATTCTTAATGTAGGTGCATAATGTGTTAGGAGGAATTCCAAAGTCCTTGGCAATCTTAGATTTTTCTTCATACCCTTTTCTACTTCTTTAATTGCCGCTGTTTTTTTCCGATAATTCCAAAGTTTTGTATGTTCGAAGTTTATCAAGCGACGACATATTCGCTCAATACGAATTGACATACTGACGTGATTTGCGGTTGCGGTGATTGCAACGCCAACGCACCTCTACTGAAGGGGCGTGTCGGGTGGGGGATAATTTAGGTGCCAGGTACGGTACAATGTATAATTGCCTTGAATGCCTTAAAACAAGTGACACGTTAGGACAGGAATCTTTTCGGAGAAATTTCCAGCATGAAATTGGCATTTTTAACTTATAGAAAAGTTCGAATTAACCAAAATATAATTCGAATTATTTACAACTTTTTATCATTACTTATATAGGAAATGCTATGGACCAGAATAAAAATTCGAATTAAAGAAGATTTCGAATTAGCGAAGTTTGAATTAAGCCGGTTCCACTGTATATACCTTTTATAAAGGATTATTAAATAAAAGTTTTTCTGATTCATGGTATACCGTCAACTACGTGAATTTCATTTCCCTTGTGGTATAATACTTAACCAATCGAATCGTAAGTTGTATCTCAAAGCTGTTTTTTGAACGCCCATTATCATCACCTCCATGTCGGTAATGCTATTTGCTTTGAAAAGATTAGTTACCGCGTTTCATAGCCATGGTAACGGCGTGTCTTTATCGGGCGTTGTGATAAATCAGCCACGAGTATAGTGCAGACGCTTAATATGAACTACAATTAATTGATTGTACATAATTTTTCTAGGGAGGGCGGGGCCATGTAGCCCTCCTTTATCAGCCGCCAATAAGTACTGATAATATAAAATGTATAAAAATTTATTTGAAAAGTAAATAATTTACTTCATAGGAAACTTTATAAATGTGGGATGAAATACAAATAAATTGTATAATTAAACAATTTTTTCAACTAGCTACGGTTAAAAATATCGATCTGATCATACAGTTTATGATCTACATTATCGTCGTTAATATTAATCAAGTTAATTTTTGAAATAAGGGTATCCTGAACGTGGAAATACCATTTAGCCAACTTCTGCTGAAGATCTTTCTTCTCTTCTTCTGAGGCAAAGGAATGACCCATTGATTCGTAAGAAATATTCCATAGTTCTTGTGGAGTTAGCTTGAAGTGTCTTAGAACGTGCTCATATTCCTTGGACAATGTGGTTGCAAATACCCCTTTATCGTCAGTCTAAAATAAAGAAAAATTATAGACCAGAATATATTATAATGTAATTAGTAGATATACACATATGTCCAAAAGTTTGGAATATAGTAATATTTCATCTATTTATTGATTTTATATATAAACTCTTCTGACTAGTTAAACATCATTGTTTAAATTCTCAACAATACTAAATAAATCTCAAAACCAGATAAAAGATATGCAAAAAAAGGATTTATTCCATTGGAATGAAAAACTTCTTCTACTACTTCTTCATGAGAAGCATCTTTTAGTTCTCAAAGTGTAATAGGGGGATTGTTTCGCTTCTTGATCCGTGTTTTGAAAATGTCCCAAGCATGTTCAATAACGTTCATGTCGGGGAAATTCGAGGGCCACTGTAATGTAGATATTCCTTCTTCTTCTAGAAAATTTTATACTGCTGCTGTCCGATAAGGAGGTGCATTGTCGTACATAAACACACATTCACCACCTACTTCCCCTCAGAATAGATGTATGAAAGGATTTAAAACTTCCTCGATGTACACAGCACCAGTGACTCTTCTCTCCAGAACCAGCAGTGGCGTCCGTGTTTCAGTTAGGACCATGATGCGCCATTTCTCTAGCCCATTGCAACCTTACTATTTTGTGTTGGTAGGTTAGTTTAGGAACACGTAGCGGTCCTACGATACAAATTTACTGCAGCATTTAGTCTGCATGTTATTGTTTGCCGTGAAATATTCAGTCCTTGAAGCCTAGAAATATCTCTGGATATACCACTTGTCGATTCCAGACGATTTCTACGAGCTATCAATGTTATTTGACGGTCTTGTGCTGCTGTTATACATCGACTTCTACTACTTCTGGGATGATCCTTGACGTCATTTTTATTTTGGATTTTTTTTTAATTTTCGATACAGCACTCTGAGTATCATCAACAATAGTCGCGATATAACTTTGACTAAAGCCCTGTTGTAACACAGCAATTACTCTAGATCTGTAAAAATTAGATATTACTTTTCTAGGCATTTTTAAACGGCTCAATTTAAATTTAAACAAAGACTGAAATAATGTGTAAATAAACTAATCAGTTGAATGTGACCAAAATCATACAAAAACGATTCAAACTTTTTATCATTTTCATTTAAAAACGCTCTAGAATAAATATCAACAACAGTTCTAAAACCACCATAGGTGTAGATATATTATTTGTACGTATTCCAAACTTTTGGACATGTGTGTATATAAAGGGTAATTCTTTGAAAGTTCCCATGAGGAGTTTGATAGGAATTACAAGGAAATAGTGGAAGCAGTTTTATTTTCTCATACAAACAGTTACATTATACCCTTTGAGTTGAACTCACCAAGGCCGTGGCTTTCTTTACGTCCATTTACTTTTTTACTTTGCACGAGTGGGAATGACGGGTGCGTTTGAAATTTTTGGTTTTTTAAGTGAATACTTCTTGCTCGGTATGCCTGTGTGTTTTTGCATGGGCCCGAAATAATCTCATACGTGACAGGAACGCTTGCAGCCACCTTGGGTATACAGTAATAGACATCTTCAAGTGTCATCTCCGCGACGGAGGTCGGCAATCATTATAGCTATTCGGACTTTTGAGACGGCTGCTCTGAAAAGTTCATTTGATGTACATCCGTACCACTCTCGAAGATTGCGCAGCCATGACATTCTACGCCTCCTTATGCTTCTTTTTCCTTGAATCTTTCCCTATATAATCAAGTGGAGCAAGGTGTATTTCTCTCCACGTGTAATATGTCCGAGATATTCCAATTTTCTTGTTTTAATTGTATTTGAAATTTCTATTATACATACATACCTATACTTCTCTGCTCATATATACATTACAATTTTTTAGAATATAATGATAATTAAAAAAAAAGGAATTAAACATAAGTAAAGTTACTCAAAATATATTGTTCAAATATCTTAACAAAAAACACAACTAACTACAAAGCACTAAAGTCCATTAATTAAATTATCCGGTGCATTTACATTTTAAGATTGGGGCCAAGAGAGGACACGAAAACCAAATGAAGCCGCCGGTAAAATTTAAATGTACCGGACAATTAAATTAATGGACTGTATCTGAGTATCCACTGTATTTGAGAGTGTTTTTTCATTATTAGAACATTTACACAACTTTCAGACATTCTAAAAATATCGAAGTATTCTTTGGGATCTTCCAATGCTAATTCCTTTTAGAAGACAATTCGTAGCTCCTAGTTTATCTCTTCTATCGATCCAATTTCGTATCCATAGCTTTTTTTTTATTAATCACATAAATTTCCTCAACCATCTCTTCTTAAACAGCCGTTACGATTAACTTAATAATTTGATTTACTTTATTGCGTTGTAGGTTGTTCATCTTGCGAAACCCAACCCATTTGTGAACTGTACTAGAACATGTTCGAACGATTTTTGGGCAGTAGTATGTATTTTAAATACTAAATTACTCGCTACTCGACTAAAATACTAGCATAATAGTGCGAACTAGGCTTTAGTGCTTTCTAGTTAGTTGTGTTTTTTGTTAAGATATTTGCTCTATATGTTGAGTAACTTTACGGTTTCTAGAACATCTGAACGACTGCATATTGTTTTGTAAGTATATTAATTAAATATTGTAGAAGTTTACTTATAAACTTCTTCATTATATTTGTATTCAATAAACCAATGAAGTAGCTGACTTTTCTTTTTTTTTGTCAACATAAATATGACCGAATGAACCTCTGCATTCACTTGATGAATATTTTGTATATATATATATATATATATATATATATATATATATATATATATATATATATATATATATGTATATATATGTATATATATATATATATATATATATATATATATATATATATATATATATATATATATATATATATGTATATATATATATATATATATATATATATAGATTTTTCGATTAACCTTGGGTAAACCTTTGCGTTTTAAGCTCAAAGCTACCATACATTTCCAACGTTAACAAATAAACTTTTTTGCACATAGTAACAAAAAAACACCACTATGTTGTTACTAGCTAAAGTTTTTTAACATCATAACTCGACATTTCTAAAATTTACGGTAAGGTAAATGTTTTTTATTAGATAAGATATGGTAGCTAATTATAATTTATTCTCTTTCAGCCCTGAAGAAGCCAAATTAATAATTAATTCTCTTTGGCGAAAACGTTGACGAAACAATTGATACACATTAGTTTTCTTGCAGATTTCCCCAATATTTAAGAGTTTACTATATATATATATATATATATATATATATATATATATATATAGCACCATATGACAAATTTTTTATTTTTAGTTTTAAGAAAACAAAATGTAAAGAACAGAAAACTGGCTTAATTCGGCCATATCATGCGTAATAGTAAATACCGACTTCTACAAGGTAAGATTGAGGAAAGAGACGCATTGGACGAAGACGTGTATCCAGGCTGGCAAATATTAGAAAATGGATTGGTCTAACGTCAACTGATCTATTTCGAGCTACTGTGAATAGAATAGGATGGGTCAATGTGGCCGCCTGCTTAATTATTAAACTGATTTTCGTCACAATTTTACTTACATTAATAGAGAATGGTAGACGTAAATCAATCCATTTTTGTATGTGATGTTCTCCATAATGCTCCACACTCTCACTTAAAACATTTGAAGTCAAACAGCATTCTAAAAAAGATCAAAATAATTGTCAAACACAACTACAATAAAGCGAAAAAAGCAACTGATTTGAATAATTTATATCTGCTGGTTTCGAATATACTAAGCTTTCCTTTATATCAGCTCTAGATTTCGAGATATAACGTACTCACTAAATACTTAAATTTTCTTATATTTCTCCATGTTATAATTGCAATATATTTATCGAATATTTTAGTAATGAAATTGTTCCTTATTGGAAATGCTCATAACTTAAAATTACCTAATTTCTTCTTAATTATTTCCAGTTAGTCATTTTATTTTTCTCTCTGAAATTGCCTTGTTTTATTGCTAACATCTTAGGAGATGCATAATTCCTATAAACTCGACTTCATTACATAGTAAAATTAGTTTGAACTTGACTTTCGTTGCAGGAGATTGTTTTTAAGTGAAAACCGTGGCTTCTACAAGCAGACGTTATTGTGTGAATTATCCGGACGTTTTTTGCTATATATGTGGCGAATACTTTTAAAAAAAGTAGAAACCCAGTTTGTGACTTTGTGAAAAATGCATATCAAGTCTATACAGATATGAATATTAATGTCGACATTTGGTGCACGTGTAACAGACATTACTTTTGTTTTATTTGTGTTTATATTTAGTCCCATGCTATCTCCCTCTCTGGTTCTATCTATCTATCTATCTATATGGTATCTATCTACCTAGGTAATCTAATTAACTTATATGATGAAATTTTATGGAATAGAAAAATAAAATTCAACAAAAGTAACATTTTTTTTAGGTTATTTTTTTAGATTTTATATCTAGGTAGTTACAATAACAAAACTAATTAGTGAGAAGGTTGTGCTTGAGTATTTCCACATAACTTATTAATATCTGATTCGGTGTTACTCAGATATAGTCAAAGATCAGGTTCGTCATTAAGTTTATAAAAGAATGGAAATCAAAATTCCTTCTTGTCCAAAATTCACCAAGGTTGCATTGCTTAAAGTCTAATTTTAGTTCACCATCACACCACAAATCAATCAGTTTTTCTTGTTTAGTTGCACTTCCTGAGTCGACGACTCAACGAAAGGGATTGCGTATCCATTCAAATTCAGAATAATTGTCTGTGAAGTACTCCTTAAATTGTTTGATTAATTTAACACAGCGAATCTTACAACGTCTTAACAAGAGTCAAACAATCTTTGCTAAAGTTAAGAACAGAATTTGAAGAATCTATCATTGCAAACGGTAATAATAAAAAAGTTTATCGGTACATTCGTAGATCTCTATCTTCTAAAGTCGCCATACCATTACTTCAAAAAGCTGATGGGTCTTTATGTCCTTCGAATAACGAATCTTCGGAATGTTTATCGTTATTCTTTTCTCAGGTTTTTACAGATGAACCTAACGATACCATTCCTCAAATAATGTGCCCACGTTTGTCTAAAACCCTTGGCAATATATCTTTCACACCGGATGAAATTAAACATCATTTAAAGAAACTGCGAAACAATTCATCACCTGGATTAGACGGACTCACCTCCTTTTTCCTCAAACAATGTGCAGAATTTGTAGCCATCCCTATATCTCTCATAATGAATGCTTCTTATAATCAAGGTTCCCTCCCCTCGAACTGGAAATTGGCTTCGGTTACTCCTATATTCAAGAAAGAAAATAAACTTGATTGTAATAATTATCGTCCAATTAGCCTGGTTCCTATTGTCGGCAAGGTCATGGAATCGATTATTTCGGAAGCTAAGTCTGAGTTCCTTCTTCAAGAAAATGTCATCCCTCACCAACAGCATGGATTTATTAAAGGTCGTTCAACGATCACAAACTTACTTCATTGTATAAATGATTGGTCATTATCTTTAAACAATCGGAATCCTGTCGATGTAGTTTACTTAGACTTCTCCAAAGCTTTCGACCGTGTTCACTATGGTATCCGCGGAAAGTTAAACATTTGGATACAAGATTTTCTATCCGACAGATACTTCAGGGTTCGTGTTGGGGAAGACCACGCACTAGATAAGCCAGTCAAGAGTGGAGTTCCACAAGGATCAGTACTTGGACCGCTACTTTTTTGTGTCTACACTAGTGATCTTCCGCTCATTGTATCCAGTAAGGTTTCCATTTACGCTGATGACACGAAGTTATATGTGAATCCAACTATTAACCACCATATTCTTCAACAAGATCTTGACGCAATATTCAAATGGTCCTCAGAATGGTTACTTCCGCTTAACATTGAAAAATGCATTATTTTACATATCGGCAAAAATAACCCATCACTGCCGTACTTGGGCGTCCTTTAAAACTTTAAATGTTTTACACGTATATCTCTAACCTCTGTTGGTAAACTTTACTCAATATACAAGACCTATATATAAGACCTAACTATGAAGATAGACTATTCATGGCTCATCTTACGACATTCGAGCAGCGGCGTCTTCGAGGTCCTTCGAATGTCCTTCCGCATTTTAAAACATAATTTTGGGAACTTAAACACCACATTCACTTTGAACCAAGACGAAAGATTAAGAGGCCATCGATACATATTAAAGAGGGAACAAACTACTGCAAGGTCCAGGGTGAACGTCTCCCAAACCAAAAGAGGAACTCCTCTGCCCTTATTTGTTATATAATAATAATAATAAATAATAATAATAACGTAACAATACCTTAGAATTAAAATTAATTTCATTATATGTAAAGAAGCTTTAAAGTGCTGGAAAACGGCAAAGTAAGTTATTTTCAAGACTTGTTTTTACAATTTGAAGCTTCTTTATGAAGGACTTAACCTTATTAATAATAAAGCGGGTTGTACGTTTGCCTTGTAAACCCAAATTCAATTATTTTTTATCTTTTCTTATTCTTACCTTTTATTTTAATTATGTTCATTTACAATCTACATCACTACAGAGTATTAAGTAAATGTGTTACAGGTTTTGGGAACGAAGGAAAGATATCTAATAAGGTCTCACCTTATTCTATTTTGGTTTAGTTTTGAAGTAGGTCTAGGGGCAAGGTTGTATCTAGTCTTCTTGTGGCTGGACCATTGTTGAATAACTTCCTTACCAGCTCATTTTCATGGTGAATGGTACGTTCATTTTGTGACTCCGTGGCTTTCTTCTCCGATGAAAGGAATCTTTAAGTCGTAGTGAAGTGTTTGATTACTTACGTACCATGGTGTATCCACTATCGATCTTAGCACTTTAGACTGGAATTTTTGAAAAATATTCAGCGACGTTGGCTTTGCACAGCCCCATGGGTGTAGTCCGTAGAACCAGATAGGTTTGAGTATGGCTTTGTATAGAAGAATTTTGTTTTGGATGTTAAGTTTTGGAGTCAGGTATCTAGTAGAGGTGTGCTTATTAGTTCTTTTAGACGAACTAGTTCAAGAGAACTATTTCACAAAAATGAACTAGTTCAGTGAACTATTTCGCGAAATAACTATTTGTAGGACCGAAATCGAAATCCAACCCTAACATAATTGGTTGCCAGATGTCTCGTCTCTATGATTACACAAACTCGACGCCGGCCGCCCGTTTTCTTTGGTTTTCAGTCTTTTACTACCGTACGGCGTACAAGGAGTTCAGATTCGGAATTATTTTTTTCGACCGTATGTTTAGGTTTAAATTTTTTAAATTATTATATGATTAGTTAGTTTTTCTTTATAATAATTTATTTTCTTAATCAATCCCTAAAGACGAGTAACAGACGAAGTTTTTTATGAGATCATTTCGAGAAAAAGGATAAAAATAAAAAATCTGCAAAATGTAATTACTGTTCATGTGATGTTAGTATTGCAAGTGGTTCACTGGGCAATCTATCAAGACATTTAAAAATGAAACACCCTGCTATCAATCTCAAATATCTTAATGTTGAAAGATACATAGAAAAAGGACCCGAAAAATCAAAAAATACATTTCAAGAACCTCAACCTTCAACGTCGAAATCAGTTTCGCTAGTAGGACAAGCAGGAGAAGATGAAGAGAAAGCAGTTATAATTCTTAAGAAAAAGCCTGCTCCTACTCCTCTTTTTTCTATCAGGGACTATGTAGTTCGACCCGTTCCATTCGAAATATATGATTTCATTCATTCATTATTTTCTTCTTTAGAACATAGACATAAGTTATAATACAAATCGTTCGCAGTGAACTAATTCTATGAAAATTAATGAACTAGTTCAATTAGTTCAGTTGAAAGAATCGTTCATTTGAACTATTTCGATGGTGAACTACACATCTCTAGTATCTAGCGTCTGTTACCGTTGGTATTCTTACACTTTCCATTCTTACAGGTGGACATATGTTGTGACTGTTGGTAAATGCATTCGAATTGATTTTGTTTTATTTACTTTTGTTCTCCATTTCATATACCAATCACTGAGTATGTTCAGATGATGCTGCAGGTTTTATGAGGCTTGTATGGGATCTTCATTTACAGCTAGTATTGCTACGTCGTCAGCAAAAGAAGCGATTGTAGTATTATTAGTCTCTGGTACATCGGCTGTGTAGAATGAGAAAAGAGGTTTGATTGTTGGTCTTCGAATTTTACAGAGAAATATCATACAATCTTAACATAACTGGATAGTGTTATTTTTACTTTGTAAAGCAGACCTCTGTACCAAACTTTGTCGAACGCTGGTGAGATGTCTAGAAATACAGCGTTGCAGTATTTCTTTTCTTCAGACTTTTTGATATTTCATTATTTCATTCGATGGATTTGTTGGGTGGTGGAGTGATTTTCCCGAAAACCAAACTGATGTTTTGGAAGTAATGTTAGGAATTCATGATCTGCGTATATCTTTTGTAGCAGCAATCTTTCAAAAACTTTGCTTACGGTTGAGAGAATACTGATGGGTCGATAAGATGTTACGTCATTGGGCTCTTTTCCTGGCTTGAGTATCATAGTGACTTCAGCAAATTTCCATATTTTTGGAAAGCGCTATTTTTGCTGTGCTAATTAGTTCTTCCACTTCTTCATCAGGGTCTGCTGGCTCTGGTTGAAATATGTTTGTAATATGTTCAGCAAAAACGTCCGCTTTTTCTTTGTTGGAGTTTTATTTATCTAGTAATATTTGATTGATCTGAAATAATCGAGATAGCAATTTTTCTATAAAAAGCCACCTAAACTCTGTATACTGTGTCATGAGTACTTCCCATTTCGGAACACAAAGGCCGAATTAGTCTTGGATTCAAAGCTCTTGACTTAATAAAATTTACTGCTTTAACAGCGTCGTTCAGCAGCTGCTTTAATTCGACTGGCATCTCTTTAGCTGCCAAGCTTGTCTGTGTATGCTGCAGTGAATAAATATATATTCCGGTGCGTCCGGTGCATACCCACACGCACTTTTCAAACCATGTTTTGTAATAAAATCATTCACTTTATTAAATATTTCGAGTAATGTTGTCATACAAGGAAAAAACTCGCAAAATAAGAATTCTTCTTGTATTTCATTTCCGTGCAACAAGCGGGAATAGACCATTAACTAAGCAAAATTTGTTATATCGGTCCATTTGCAACGAAAAAAATACTAGACTTTATTTGTTCTATGACTGATAAAGTATCGTCATTTAGATGCTGTTTTACAAGATGTTGCTACAGCAACTATTGAACATGAAGTAGACATTGTTATTAAATCGAAAAACTGACCAGCTGTGCAATTACCACCAAATGTTCAACTGGTCATTTCCCATCCAAAAATTAGGTCAACAGCGACAGTATACCCAGTGTCACAAAAAAGCTAGGTGGAGTTGCTCAAAATGCACAGCAACCCTTTGCACTGAACAGGACTCTAGGAACTAATTGATTTTTGTTTAGTTTTAACCATTATTAATAATAGGTACATTATATTAAAACTGCGGTACTTTAATATTTTATAAAACTACTGCAAAAAACAAGTTCATTATAATGAATACAAAAATCAACTAAAATGTTCCAAATCGGAAACTCACCTAAAGGAATTTTTTTCTCGCAATAAAGGTCCCAGTTTTCCTGTGAGCCACCATGGTGTGGATGTAAAAATATACCGTGCCCAATTCGATCAGGTCCAAATTTTAATATTTTGGAAACTTCTTCGTCATTTTTAACTTCGGCACAATGTATGGCAGTCTTAAGACCGGCCTGTCTAGCCTTTTCAAACAAATCTTCATCGAAAGTACCGATCATGGGATTTCCACTTAAATCTATACCTACAATTAAACCTAAATTATGAAGACATATTAAATAAAATGTAAAGAATAACACTGGGAAATAAAATAAGCATGCAAAAGACAACCTAACCAAATATGTGCCGGTGAAATGGGTGGGAGAGTTCTTATCTCCTGTAAGACATGGCCTACCAAGAATGTGATAACAATTACAAATTTTTTTATCAATTTAAAATAAATATTTTTGAGCTGGTAAAAAATTAGGAAGTGTCATCTGAATGCTGTCTAAATACAATAAGTAATAAAATATTTCCAAATAAATAAATGTTTTTGTACCTTTTAGGGAGAATTTACCCTTAGGTACATTATCAAAAAGCTTTTTTTGTTGAAGTACCATGGTCATCAAATTATTATAAAAAGGTATTTGTTATCGATTGAGAGATATTAGTAAAATTTTGTTTATGTTACATTAGCTTTTCATACTCTCATAATTTTCTACACAAAAATGAATGAAGATTTGATTATTTGAAACTAATTAAAAATGTGTATAGTACGATAAATACACTTTTTAGTAAAATATAAAGAAGGTACTAGATTTTTGTTTCAATACAGAGCGGCGGCAACCGCTTATACGTATTTTGACCTCTTTAGATCTCGTCAGAGCGGTATAGCCACCTCTCTGGATCGAAACAAAATCGATTCCCGTCTTAAACCATAGTTATAAAATAACTATATACGGACTTAACTACGCCATCTAATAACAAAAAAAGAAATCAAGCGATTTCTACTTGGCAAAATCGAATTCAAATTTTGACCACCGTCTAAAACTTTGCCGCCGCTCTGTATTGAAACAAAAATGTAGTACCGTCTTTATATTTTATTTCTTTACTCCATTTGGAGTACCAGAAAATGAATCTACTACGAATTTTGGCCATGATAAACGACATGTGGAATGCAATCTTAAATTTCCTTATTGAGTTATTTATCAAGCTGTTTGCTTTGAAAGTTTTAGAAAGCACGGTGATCAAAATTTGAATTCGATTTTGCCAGGTAGAAATCGTTTGATTTCCCTTTTTGTTATTAGATGGCGTAGTTAAATCCGTATATAGTTATTTTATAACTATTGTTTAAGAAGGGAATAGATTTTGTTTCGCTCCAGAGAGGTGATTATACCGCTTTGACGAGATCTAAAGAGGTCAAAATACGTATAAGCGGTTGCCGCCGCTCTGCATTAAAACAAAAATCTAGTACCGTCTTTATATTTTATTTCTTTACTCCGTTTGGAGTTCCAGAAATTGAATTCACTACGAATTTTGACCATGATAAAGGACATGTGGAATGCAATCTTAGATTTCCTTGAGTTATTTATCAAGCTGTTTGCTTTGCAAGTTTTAGAAAGCACAGTGGTCAAAATTTGAATTCAATTTTGCCAGGTAGAAATCGTTTGATTTCTCTCTTTGTTACACTTTTTAGTGTTTACATATATTTTCAAAACTTATGATTATTAAAAAATATTCAATCATTCAATATTAGGAAACAAGAATGGTATACGCTAAGTATTTAAAATGTATATAAAACTAAAAAACAACACTCAAAATCGAAACAGCAACTTCAACTCGAAGGTAAATAAATAACAATACTATACAAACATTATATCCAATGATGCAATCTGAAAATAATAATTTGTGAAACTTCAACTAATAACTAAGATCAACTTACATTGAAGAAGACTGCTAATTGAGAGAGAACCGTACCAATTGTAAGTTCCAGAACTTGGCATAGCTGGCAACAATGTTGCTGTTCAGAGCATTAAATTTCGGGAAAATTAAAATATTAGAATATAATGTATGTGCTGCCATCTACACAAAGGATTGTTAAACATTAGTTTATTTGAATGCCACTCCAACAACTTACCTTTGATAATGTCTGGATATTTGTCCTTCATTTTAATAATTACATCTAATGTTTTCATAGAAGACTCTTTATTGGCTCGTCTATTTATAGACAAAAGTAGCTTCACTAATACTTTTTTACAAGTCTCTTTACAATCTGTAATTGCTTTAATAACTGTTTCAACATATTCTTCTTCACTCATTTCTTCCTCACTTCTAGGAGTTGTTCTAAGTTCTAAATATACAGTATTTTCTTTATCAAAGTCTTCAATAACGCTTTTAGCAGCCAGATATACGTTTTCTTTGGTTTTTGTAGCATTATGGGCAACATTAAAGAGCTGAAACACTTCTTCCAAAGTACGACTAGATTTACTCATAATGTCTGTAAGTTGATATTCTGCTATAGCATCATTATTGCATCCTAACTTTTTCAATATATCTGTATTTAAGGAACCATTGAGATGGGCATGCAGTTCCTAAAATGATAAAATATGAAATTATATGACTAATAATACAAAAACTCAACTGAAAATGATAATAAAATTAATATCAAACAGAATTTAAAAAATATACCTACAAGCCCAGACGCATATATACTTCATCTAATTTTCTTACTGTTGCACGTCATTATCATTGACAGAGATCGAAGTTGACATAATTGCCAAAGTATAAAAAAATCCTGACTCCATTTTAAATCAAATAGGTCACATCATTATTGCAAAAGTATTACCATCTCTTTACAACAATTATTTAAATTCTTACGTGACATTTTCGAAATAAAACACACTAATTTTGTTCTAAAAAGAACAGATTTTATTAAAAAGGTACAAATATAAAACAAGAGGTATTTACTTTAAAATTCAAAATAATAAAGTACACAAAGTGTCAACACCGCAACTGTCAAATAAGTGTTACCAATTTATGCCAAAATATCACCTTCGTTCAATTACAGTTACAGTGTGTTCCGAACAAATGTTCTTCATAAAAACGCTTTATAATGCATTTATACAAATTAAATGAAACCTATTATTGTGTATTTCCTTAAGTTAACATTAATAGAAATCTTTAAATATTATTTCTACGCATATATGTAATATGTCTAGTTGCTGTAATGCCAGTGTACTCGGCAAAGTGATTCTAAAAAAGAATACACCTACCACCTAAATATTTCGTGTTGGTATCATGTGACCTCACGGACTATGACGCGGATGACGTGCAACGGTAAGTAAATTAGATGAAGTATAAATGGGACTAAAACCAATATGCAACACAATTTTATTTTTCTGAATTTATTTAATTATTAAAAATTAAACAGATATGATTAAAGCCTATTTGATACCATGTGGTTTTGCCCATTAATCAACAATATCTAATACTTTTATCAACTACAATAATTATAACATAAACAAAAAGAAAAAGTAATGTCTCACACAAATTGGACCAAATATTTAATCAGATGTACCACTGTGCTGAGTAACTCTTACATTTTAAAACAGCATTAATACTTTTTGGCATAGTGAAAATTAGAATAGAAAATTGGCTACCGGATTGACCATATATCTTTAGAAAAGACAGAGCTTCTAAAATAAACCTAAACAATACTAGCAAATGTCATCAAGTTCTAGTACCCTAGCAACATTTTAGATATAACACCAGCATATGATAATGATATGTTGTAAGTTTACATCACAGCATAGGTAGGTATTCAAATTTCGTTTATGTGCCAAAATAATACCAAAGAATATATACGCATATGCGTCTAATATATGACTGTATTTCGCAGAACAAGTACAAATTGAAGCCAAATAAAATAAATTTTAATAACTATGTTTTTCAATATACATATTATCAAAAATACTTACAATTTTAGGCAAAATCTTACAGAAACTACTTATACTATATTGTTTCTTAGTTTGCTCCATTTTTTAGATATTCATGAAAGCAGATTGAAGCTTTTTCTAAAGAACTTTAATTGTTGCTTTTTAACTAATATACTCCTTGATAACTGGAGATAAATAATCACATGAGAGGACCTTTTACAATAATCCCAATTTAAATATTCAAATTCAAAACAATTATATTAGGTTATGGTTATGTTCAAACCACAAAACAGCAAAATAATAATAGTATACCCGGTTCGCTATTCCCAGTCCGTACTGTCTAGTGATTTTAGTAATTATTTTTTTGCGAAGTTAGTTACTTTTTGACAGACTCGAAGTGGCTGGAAATTACTATACAACCAAGCATACGTGCTCTTAGTCAATATTAATGTAAACAAAAGTAAATAAAATAGAACTTTGCCGACAATCAATATTTATTTATTTACACCGTATTATGTATTGATAACAAATAATAAAATTATTTATTGTACAAAATAAAAAAAGTAGGAGTAAATTCTACAAAATTAAAAAGTCAAAGTGAGGTTAAATAAGACGTACTTCCACTACAGACGTACTCTAGACAAAATAAGTGTACTTCCATATGCTAAAAGCAAATATTAGTAATTTGACTAGGCAAGTTCGTGGTTCAATAGTAATTTTTGCTCATTAGCATTTGAGGATGTTAAAATCTTCCACATATGGTTAATGAATTCAGTGTCCTGGCCGCAGTCTGCAGTCATATAAACCCAAACAAACAACAAGAACCTCCATTCTCCATGTAGGTATAAACAAGTTTATATTAAATTAGAAACAACTAATCTAAAAATATTAACTTTTAAAAAACATTTTATCATGTTTATTAAGAAAAACTTACCAACACATTAGCTGATGGAACAAATGGAAAACTTTGACTATCCATAATAATAAAATTTAAAATATAACTAATTAATTAACTGAATAGAACTAACAAAAGAATTAAACAAATATAATAAAACAATATTAAATTAAATAAACAACGCGAATAATACGAATATTTACTACAATATTTTAAATTGTAACAATTCAAATATTATATTTTAAATATACAGGGAAAATTTGATGGGTTGGTGGTTTAGTATACACTTCCACTATTTAGAATAATTCTTCTTTTTTTCAAAGAAAGAAGTCTGCAATAGTAGTACACTTGAGCTATTAATACTGAGAAGTAGGAATTGTTGTGTTGTAGGTTTCCGACAATGAGTCTGTCAAAATATGCCCTAGCTAAGCGAATAGACAATAACATAACAAAGACAATAGGCTTCTTCTTCTCCGTTTTTTAGGTTTCGATTATATAATCGTTTATCCAGTAAATTTAACGTTATGCTCGTGCTCGTCATTGTTTATTAATTCAGCGTTGTTTATTAATTCTGTGCCTAGGCACTGCACGAAAGGGAAACACTTCTGTTTAGCGCTGCGCCGAAAACTCAATTTTTATTTTCTTATAACTCGAAAACGAAAAATCCACAAATGAAATTTTGAGTGTGAGTAAATATCCCAAAGTTTACAGGAATTATTTTAGCTATGGTGGAGGTATAAAAATTTATTTTGCTAACTTTATAACGATGTTTTACTTCCAAGATATCCACGAATTTATTGACACAGAAATAGAAAATAGAAATTGTTGAATAACTTCATGAATTTCTTCGTTTTGTGTAAAGCCCGCATTATACGAGGAATAAATTCGCGAATTTAGGTTGCTAATTTCAGAACAGTTCATAAAAATGGAGATTCTTCTGAGAATGACAGCGTCGTGAGGTCGTGATAACTGTCACGTTCATAATTTGTCTTGTCTGTACATCTTACAGATTTCAGACCACTCTTTTGACCTTCTTGTGACCTCCCGTACTAAGGTCCCACAATTTGTAAATTCTTCTGAAATCCAGGTAGGATAATTTGTGCCGGTTAAATTATTCATCAAATTGTAGCAGTGTTTTTTTATTTTAGATATATTAAGCACCAAAAATGGCTTCTCGACGATTTGTAGTAGGTGGTAACTGGAAAATGAATGGAACTAAAAAGCAAATTGAGGAAATCGTTAATTTTCTTCAAGCTGGACCCCTAGATCCCAACACTGAAGTTGTAGTCGGAGTACCTGCAGTTTATTTAGAACACGTCCGAAGTAAACTCCCAGCAGCGATAGGAGTAGCTGCTCAAAATTGTTACAAAGAAGAAAAAGGTACCTTTTAATGATAAATTCTTTGAACAAAGTGTATTTACTCTTTTGTTTTAGGTGCATTCACTGGAGAATTATCCCCTCTTATGCTGAAAGATATTGGTATTGACTGGGTTATAATTGGTCATTCTGAAAGGAGACAAATCTTCAAAGAAACTGATGCATTAATTGCAGAAAAAGTAAAGTTTGCTTTAGACAAGGGACTCAAAGTCATCGCTTGCATTGGTGAAACCTTAGAACAACGTGAAAGTGGCAAAACTGAAGAAGTTGTGTTCTCCCAAACTCAAACTATCGCCTGCTTAGTAAAAGACTGGACAAATGTAGTGATTGCCTACGAGCCTGTGTGGGCCATTGGTACAGGTAAAACAGCAACACCACAACAAGCTCAAGATGTTCACAAAGCACTCAGAGAATACATTGCTAAAAATATAGGTGAAGATGTTGCAAAGAGTGTTAGAATTCAATATGGAGGATCTGTTACTGGAGCCAACTGCAAGGAATTGGCAGCTATGCCTGATATTGATGGATTTTTAGTTGGGGGAGCCTCTCTAAAACCTGAGTTTGTCAGTATTGTAAATGCAAGGCAGTAAGTTTTAATTTTGTGAAAGTGTAGAAGTGAAAGATCAATTCATATTTGTTATATTAAACTAGACACTTTACAAATTGTATGTTTCGTTAAATATTTCAAAAGTCTATGCAAGATGAAATGTACCGGAAAATTATGTACTCTTGAAAGGTTAATGTTGGTATTCAAATGAGTATTGTGTTGGAATAAACAGTAAAGATTCCTTATATAAACTGTAGTTATTGCATTTAGTCTACAATTTAACCTATAATCATAAATTTAATCCTATTGAATGACTGAATATAGTTTTCTTGAGTTTCCCAATTTCTTCTGTACAGTTTAGGTGTCATAATAACCTACATTCCAGTGCCAGCTAATTCAGGTATCTGATTTATTAACCAAAAATTATTTTGATAAATCTCAAAATTGAGATAAAAAAGTGGTACAGTAGTCAGTACTGGAGACTAGTGTGAAGCTTCATACTGTTTTCTGTATTTTAAAAATATGTTTAAGATTGAATAAATTAATTTTATTATTTATTATTTTTATAGATTTTAGTAAAATTGAAAAAGTTACATGTTGAATAATGCTCACCCCACATCAAGTAAATTCACTCCTCAACTTGTTTACTGTTGGGAAAGTAGGCCAGTAACTGACTAGCACTAAACACATTTGCTAGTAATTGGTATGCCTGTAGCTTGCTTGCCTATACTGGCAAGGTGAAAAAGCAGGGTAGATTTTTACACATGCCAGTGCTAGTAAACAATTAGTAGTTTACATCTGAAACTAAAGTACTTGTTTTGCAATAAAAAGTTTTTAACAGAAAAAGGGGATCCAAGGAAGTTATTCGGAGTTAATTCAACAAGCAAATATTGCTGGTGACCACAGATATTGTTAGAAATTAAATATTGAATCTGAAGCGGAACTTGAAAAAGAGAAAAATTTGGGTGAGAAATTGGATTGGTAGGGGAGAAAATCTTTTAGCAATTTTTTATTTTGGCCTTTATCTCCTTTCACCCATTTCCTCTTGAATTTTTTGTAAGCATTGTCATAGGCTATTTTATTTTTTTACATAGAGATGATTTAGAATTCAAATGACACTCCAATTTTGTATATATACCAATAATTTGATGGTTTTTTATCATCTCAACGAAACATTTTTTAAATTAACAAGTTTAAAAATAAAACAATGAATTTTTATCACCAACACAACAAATCTGACAATTCTCTGCTAGCTACTGACATGCCTGTAGCAGGTGTTCACATGCACTCTCCTTTCATCTCACAGCAAAGAAAAATCAAATTCTTTGCGATTAGCTAGCATGCCAGTTAACATACACACTTGCCAGTTTGGGGACAGTAGCTGGTGCTTAATAGGTATTGGTATGCCATTGTGCTAGTAACAGGCATATGTGTATCTCCAGTTTTTAATTTTTGTATCAAATTATTTTAAAATCAGAAGTGTATAGAATAAAAAGTAAAGCCTGCTTTCATAATGACAATGTAAACTAAACCTAACTAATGTTCACTTTAGACTAAAGTACACTTTAGTATCACATTCATTTTTATAGTACATACAGCTCTTCGCTATTAAAAGTAAACTTGGGTTTTTAAAAGTGTTTCTATCTATATATTTTGCTTTATTTTTGTTGGACTAACCTTATTTTTCTTGTTTTATGTTAATTTGTGTGTAAAATTGTTATTAATTATGTTTGTATCAAAAAGAAGTAGTTCTTTAAATTTCACAAAAAGAGGAACTTTTTGTGAAAAAAGTATATAAACCAAGAAAACATATTAACGAAAACTGGAAGATTTAAATGAAGAGAATAATCAATAAGAGGACAAAGAAGAGAGAAAAAGTGTTGCCTTTTAATGTCGTTTATATTATATAACTAAATTTAAACTCTCCACAAATTTTCAGAACAGTACTGAAATTGCTGAACTAATTTAATATGTACAATTATAAAATTGAAAATTACTGAAATATAAGCATCATAATATATCCTATAACATTTTTATTGACAAAGGTGAAAGTAAGTCTAAAACTTACAAAATAAATGGTTTAATATAAAATATATGTTTAAGAAATTGTCAATCTATATTAAATTCAAATTATACATGCACTGGCAATAAACAACGAAACGCAAAGACATGTAAGCAGCCATAGGCGTGCGGTTTTGCTTTCCCTATTAAATTATTAAAACAGCATGTACAATTACAGATTTCTTTACTATGGATAACGAAGATAAAATATGCAATGTTAGTATTATCAATTATATTAAAAATAGGCGGGTTCTTTTAAAATTGAGCAGATCATTATCCTCATTATCATCTCTTAAAACTTTGTCTACAGTAGGAATCTCGTTTCTAAAATCAAATGCATTCACCGTTTTTCTTATGGCATTACGATTAGCTTTGTCTACTAAATCAATTATTTTGTTGTGAGTCCGATTAACTTTTGAATCTAAAAATGTGTGTATATTTTTATGTTCTCTGAGTATAGTATAAATACTTCACCCACATATGTCTGATTTATTTGCAACTCTTATTACTGACTCATCTATTGTTAGAGTATGATTTTCTTCTATTTCACACTTATAAATATTTAAAATAATTAACCTTGTCAGCTGTATCTGTGCTGAACATATTTGTTTTGTATGGTATATTAATTATTAATTGAACCTGCCTATATTTAAAAAGAATTATATAAACATTAATCTATAGAAAACACCATACTTGACAGAACAAAACAAAATTAAAATACAAATATGTTTATGCAAATAGAATAGTTATTAAAGAACTAAGAACCAATTTAGGAAATAAAAGTAAAAAGTAGATAAAACGATTAACAAGCCACATTCACTAATTGTGTCAGGCAAAAAACTGAAATCAAATCTTGCCAAAACAAGTACAAACTTATACTTGTAGCAAAGATAAAATCTTGATGAAGAAACAAAATGACTAACTAGTAAATAACATAGGCGTTCTGTTTTACTTTGCTATTATTGAGTAGCTGTGTAACATTGGATGTTAAAGGGACATAAATGAATTCAAAATTATAAAAAGATTTTATTACAGTTTGTACATATTAACTGCTGCATATAACATGCTGGTTGTTCCAATTGCTTTCTTGCATTTGCCACTTAATGTATATTTCAAATACTTTCTACTTGTTTTTAGTTGCTTTTATTGAGTTAGGTACCAAATACATATAAGGCAGAAAGAAAACAGATTCAAAATTATAATAATGAGATTTTATTACAGCTTGTGCACAAACTCTACATGTTTTCATTAGATATACAATTTCTCTCCAACAATTACACAATTTTGGTTAATAATCAATCAATTCAAAATGGAATTGAACACCATTCCAAGTTTTCCATAAAAAAAACTGTCCAAAAATGAATACGATCAATTCTGCAACAACTTAAGTTAAAAATAAAAAGTGTTTCGAAAGATAAAATAAAAGAAGAACTGACAAGCTTTTATTGATCAACAATGGGGGAATAGTTGACTATGGCTTTATCGCTCACAAGGACACTAAAATATAGAAAAAATGTTTACCCCCAAATTGTTTAAGACCAAAACTTGTCAGTTCTTATATTCTAAAGCAATTGTAAATATGTTAAATTTCTATCATTTTATGGTAGACAACTGGAAAAAACATCCAAATTATTAAAGTTTATCCATAAAGTGAGGTTGTCCATTCTTTTCCCTTCGTCGTGTCAAAATTTCACAGCCTGTTTCATTGACTAAAAGTGTATGTTCAAATTGGGCTGACCATTGGCCATCTGCTGTGACTGCTGTCCATTTGTCGGGCCACATTTCATCACGCCAAGTACCTTCTGATATCATGGGTTCAATTGTAAAGCAATGGCCTGGTTTCATCACACCTATAGCTCTGTTTTCTGTAACAACAATCAGTTATGATTAATGGTAAGATACAACCATTTTCAATCATAAAATTTGATAAAAAACATGACATACCAAATATACTAGAATCAAATCAACAAGAAGAAAAAATTAGAGATACAGCAAGAGCTATACAGAGAGAAAAATAAAGAAAAAATAATATCAAGCAAATTATTCCTAGTTCTATTTTTCAAAAATTATACTCTACATTCATTTCATTTTATGCTAGTTAAATAAAATAGCCTTACTTGCATAATGAGGTACATTGGGTGCTGTGTGGAATAACCTATGGATCCCATGACCACAGTAGCTCCTAACCACTTGGTACCCATGGCTTTGGGCATGTTTTTGGATAATATTACCTATTTCCCTATATTTTTCTCCTGGTTTAACAATATCTATAGCTTTCATTAAACATTCGTGAGTAACCTTAAAAAAATTTGAATCAATTTCACACAGTCAAAAAAACTCGTTTTGTTTAAGCATATTCTTCTAGAAAAAGTAACACTAACATACCTTTACTAAGTTTTTATGTTTCTCACTAACATTTCCCACAAAGAAAGTCTCATTCAAATCGCCATGGAAGCCTCTATGATAAACAGTGACATCCACATTGCATAAATCACCATCCACAAGTGGTCTACTATCAGGAATTCCATGACAAATAACTTCGTTGACAGATGTACAGCATGATGCTGGGAATTCATAATAATTTAGAGGAGATGGATAACAATCACGTTCAATGCAAGCCTCATGTACTATTCTATCAATTTCATCAGTAGTTACTCCAACATCACATACTCTTGCAGCTTCATCTATGACTTCTCTGCCTAGCCTACTAGCTACTTTAACACCTACAAAAAACCTTTGATAAAACTTAATTTAAATATTTTTTATATACATACCCTCAATTTCTTCATCATCCAACACTTTAATAAGTCCGGAACCTTTGACAGCTTGTTCACTGAGAGGGTAACCTTGTGGATGGTCCGCATAATCTGGTCTTTGAATCTGAGATGGTACAGTTCTTTTGGCTGATTGTGGAAAAGGTCTCAACTTCCCTGTGTATGAATAACTGGGCCAAGGATTGTAGGAATCTTCTTTTTTCCCATCTATATTTTCTCCTTCTACAATTTAAGTGTTAAACATTTATTAATCAAATATAAGCAACCTTGTAAACAAATTGATCTATTTCCTTTACTATAATTATGCCAGTGAAAGAAAGTGAATAGTACAGTATTATATACTCTAAATTTTCAACTAAACACATACTTATATAATTCAAAAGTGTGTAAAAATATCTTGACATTTTCAAACTATCATGAGAAGCATGATTTGTACTACATACCTAACCTTACTTACTGGCTAAAGAGTGGATAATTTTGTGAGTTTTCCAATTACTCTTGAAGCATTCTTGTGAACAAAATATCGAGCCCGGAATTCCTAGCTTAATGCAAGTAGGGCATTGCAATTTTGCAGGATTTGAACAACCTGGCGTTTCGCATTGACCCAAACTTGCCATTTTTATAATTTATTTTGTTCAAACGTTTAAAATGGAAAAGGAAGGCAGAGTGAGGCAGAGTAAAAAGAAACGTCATACGATCAAGGCCAATGAGGAAATGTCAAATGAAATAACCAACTTAATAAAAACAAAAGTTCAAATATTTTTATCCTTAAAAAAATATCTTAAGGTAAACCAAATACATAAATTTTATTTAAAATCAGTTATATTTTACTTAGTTCTTGGCAATACATAAGCAAACTATCTTTATACATAATAAATGCATTCAGGCACGTTCTCATGGATTCAGGAGTGGGCTCGTTAGGTTGGCTACAACATGTCGATTTGACAGACCGACATTTTGATTAGTTTTCTTTGCGCATTGGTTTTTTGGTGCGGCGGTGTGCCTTTTTCCTATAAAAAATAATTAATAGTATTTACTATATCAACCAATTATCACAATTCTCGGATTGAATTTACTAGATCTTAATTCTCGCTATGTCAAAGAGACGAATTGATGTAATGGATCCTTTCATCAAAAAGAAAAGGTAAGATGGTTTACATTTTTTTTACCCAGATTATATTATTGTATATTTTAGAGAGGAACGTGGTATAAGTACAGCTGTAACAACCGCTGTCTCTGTTAATCCTTATTCAGGATTACCATTTACACAAAAGTATCATGAGCTGTTTAGAAAAAGAATCGGTCTACCAGTGTTTGAATACAGAGCAGATTTTATGAGACTTCTAAGTGACCACCAGTGCATAGTTCTCGTAGGCGAAACAGGTAAGGTTTATAAATGAAGTTATGTAAATGTATTGTTCTAAAATTTTTTGGTTGTAGGTTCTGGTAAAACAACTCAGATACCACAATGGTGTGTAGAATATTCAAGAACAGTAGGCCAAAAAGGTGTTTGCTGTACGCAACCTAGGAGAGTAGCTGCTATGTCAGTTGCTCAGCGAGTTTCAGAAGAAATGGATGTAGCTCTGGGACAAGAAGTTGGTTATAGTATTCGTTTTGAGGATTGCTCTTCAGCTAAAACTATATTGAAGTGAGTAACTGAATACTAGATCTGGCTTGTGATCAGCAAATTAATATTTTTTCATTACAGAGATGGTTTCTTTGGAAAATGCACAATAAATTTTAGATAGGGACCATAATTGTGTATAATATTTATGTTTGGTTAAAGTATAGAGAACGTTCTGATTAAGATAGCTACAAATGAAACTTCAGTAAATCACAAATTTGCTTTTGCAGTATTGCCATGTCCTTATTATGTATATGTTTTATGCCCCACATATGCTTTGAAATACTACATTTTTATTATATTATTTTATGGAAGCAGTTAGTTATTAGAAAAAAAATTGTAATTGCCATTTCGTAGATTAGCAGATAAGTTTGGCAATAGTGTCAAAACCTTCAAAACACTGATTGCAACATAATAAAAAAGTAAAAATATATATTAAAATCATTACAGCAGAATTTAACTTCTTATTCACTTTCTAACTTTAGTATTTATAGTGATTTATATATTATTTTTCTCATTATTTTACCATTTTATGCTTTCTATGTTTAATTAAATAAGTTAATATTATATTGCATGCTCTTTTGTGATTTATTAAAATGACATGACAACATTGCCAAATACAAAAATTTCCTCAATTTTTAGCTAACTTAATCAGGACATTCTCTATACTTTAACCTTGTTTTTAGAATAATATGATTGTAGGAGTCAATTATTAAATTTTGCATTAATTTTCTTAACTTTTTTCATATTTCTGGCCTATAACTGTGCACATGTTTCATTGTTCTTTTTTATTTCTAGGTACATGACAGATGGTATGTTGTTACGAGAAGGTATGAGTGATCCAATGTTAGATGCCTACCAATGTATATTACTTGATGAAGCTCATGAACGTACCCTAGCCACAGATATTTTAATGGGTGTGTTAAAAGAAGTGATTAAGCAACGTAAAGTATGTAAAAAAAATCAAAGAGAACTCATTTTTAAATGTTAGTTTATTGCTACATGTATCTGATAAAACTACTTATATGTTTTTAGGATCTAAAATTGGTTATTATGAGTGCTACATTAGATGCTGGAAAGTTTCAACATTATTTTGACAATGCTCCTTTGATGAATGTCCCTGGACGTACACATCCTGTAGAAATCTTTTACACACCAGAACCTGAAAGAGATTATCTAGAGGCTGCCATTAGAACAGTGATTCAAATTCATATGTGTGAGGAAATAGCAGGTAATGTATAGTGTTTTTCAAATAAACAGAAGTGGTAGTGAATCATTCCTGATAAAACCTGTATTTACTCATTTATAGGTGATATTCTGCTCTTTTTGACTGGACAGGAAGAAATTGAAGTGGCTTGCAAGAGAATAAAACGAGAAATAGATAATTTAGGCCCAGAAGTGGGAGAACTGAAGTGCATACCCTTGTATTCAACACTACCTCCAAACTTACAGCAAAGAATCTTCGAAGATCCTCCACCAAACAAAGCAAATGGAGCAATCGGCAGGAAAGTTGTGGTCTCTACAAATATTGCAGAAACTTCTCTCACTATTGATGGTGTTGTGTTTGTAATTGATCCAGGTTTTGCCAAACAAAAGGTAAGTGTATTTTTTTAGTTTACAATATTTGATATTTAATCTATTGATAGAATCCAAAAATATGATGGTTTTAATTGCAATGTATTGATGAAAATTGGCGAAAAAGAAGAATGAGATTAAAATTTATCAGTCTACCTTTTAACTTATTAATTAAGTACAGTCAAAATCGTTTATAACGATTTTCAGGGGACTGGTGGTTTTTGTACGCTATAGCCAGTGTTCTCTGTAAGCGGTTCTATTGGTTATAATGAACAGGTTGCTATAAACGATATTACACTGGTAGGAACAGTTAGTTCGTTGTACCTAGGTTTATGATGTAAAAATCTGGTACTTTATCTATACTTATATTATGTTATAATAACATATTATATGTAACATTTAACATATGTGTGATTGTACTTCGTAAATCTAAATATGTACATACATATATGTATAATATGTATTGAAATAAGTATAAGTAATCAATAAAGTATACTCATAATATAAAGGCTTCTCAAAAATTTTGTATTATAAAAATGTAGGCATACATATAATATTTATTTTTAAAAAGACAAAGAAAAATACATACATGTATGTTTTACAAAATATGAAAATACATTTAATGAAAAAAGTATAATTTTTGTTTGTCGTCTTCCTTGAACTTCTGAAAAAAACATTTTTTCAATTGATGTGGAAACAATTGATAATGATTCTTTCACACTCTGTGAAGTTTCAGCAGTCTGAATAAAGCTCTTATGGCGGAACATGCAGCATAAGCTTCAGCAACAGTAGGGATTTTGCTGAAATCTTCCAATTCTTCATCCACCTCATCAGTACTTTGTTTTTTACTACTTTGGTGACTTTACAATGTCAATATCTGACAGTTCTTCGTTCATACTTATTTCATCATCCACTCGTACATAGTCATCTGCAAAGCAGTCAGAACTGAGAAGGGGAATGGCATCCTGCAAATGCGTTTGTGTCAATATCGTTGTATGCAAATTCTGATGGTTGTAAGTCGTTAGTTAGGCCGGAAAAACAAAAACAGTTGATGGTCGTTTCCTTTCGCACAGATTCCCATGCCTTTGATATCATTAGTATAGCGTCAAGAATACTGACTTTCGCATCGTCGTTATTTTCACCCTTTTCAATGATTTTGTACACAAATTCTTTCCGAAAGCATGCTTTAAGACTTCTTATAACTCCTTGGTCCATGGGCTGCAGTCCGGACTTACAATTTGGAGGCAGAAAAACGAATTTAATTTGTTTTAACCTGTTAACTGGGGTGGGACAGTTGTTGACAATTAAAATTATCTTTGAAAAATAAGTCTATTATCGAGCACAAGTTAATAAATCTATCCCAAGTACTTTCGCTTAAAATAGCATCTTCAGGGGCATTTCGTCAAATATAAACTATCCAGCAAGCATAGAATGTGGAAACATTAATAATGACATAAAATTGTACAAAACACTACACTAAAACGAGGACAAAGAGTTTAAAATTACTTTAAAGATTCTACGCTACATTCTTTGTCAGTATCTGGAGGGATAAATCTCTCCCTACTATTATATATATATATATATATATTATATATATATATATATATATATATATATATATATAATAGTAGGGATAAAACAAAATAGTAGGTCCCATGGGACCTACTATTTTGTTTATTATATCCGACAGTATGTTATAGCCGGTGTCGTTGTAAACGATTTTGACTGTAGTAATGAAATAAGTTAACTTATTAGTTTAACTCATTTGTTAGATGAATACTTAACTTCTAAAACAATGTTTATTTTTTTATCTTTAGCTATTGCTGATGCAGATATTTTTTTGTTTGGTTGATTAATTTTTGTTTCAAATTTAGGTGTATAATCCTAGGATAAGGGTCGAATCTCTACTAGTATCACCTATTAGTAAGGCTTCAGCACAACAAAGAGCAGGTCGTGCTGGTAGAACAAAACCGGGAAAGTGTTTTAGGTTGTATACCGAAAAGGCTTTCAAGAATGAGATGCAAGATAATACATATCCGGAAATATTGAGGTAAGTGAAATTATATGAAAAATATGTTAAAAATTCCTTTATATAGTTTTTCTTTCTTTTACATATTCATAGTAAATAAATTTTATAATATTTATAAAAAAAATTAACAAATTTGTGGATTTTGTGTGAATATAAATTTACTTTTGATGTTTGTTCTGTCATGTTTAAAACATTTTAATAGACCTTCGTAATATGAAATTTAATAAATTTGACAACCTCACATTACCTTAATCTGTTTGTCCTAGGTCTAACTTGGGCTCTGTGGTGCTCCAATTAAAGAAGCTTGGCATAGACGATTTAGTCCATTTTGATTTCATGGATCCACCAGCTCCAGAAACACTGATGCGTGCCTTGGAGCTGCTCAACTATTTGGCAGCCTTAGATGATGATGGCAACCTTACGGATCTTGGTGCAGTCATGGCAGAATTCCCACTGGATCCCCAATTGGCTAAGATGCTGATAGCTAGTTGCAATCACAACTGTTCAAATGAGTTGTTGTCCATAACAGCGATGTTGTCAGGTATTTATTTTTCGGGAGATTATGGGAATGTGTGTGGAGGAGTGTCTGTGATATAATGATATTTTTTTGATGCTAGGACTGCTCTATCTTTTGGAAAAGATGGAAAATGAAGATGTAATTATATGATGAAGCACGCCAAAATATGCAATGCAAAAATAAACAGTAGAATCTAAAATTCATTTTAAAAATGTACTGTACCTCCAGCTTCTGAATCATGCAACTGGTGGATGTATTAAACAGTTGAGGTTTTCATTTTTGTATCTAAAGATTCTACAAAGTTTAGTCACACCGCAATTTATCAGGATTTACACTTGATTTTATTGCCAAGTGAATCGTCATGAAATATATTGATATATACTAGTTCAACAACTTCGAGTATCCAAGGTCCTCAAAAAGAGATTCTCAACACAAGAAGTCAAGACAAAAGAGCTAATATTTATTGATGAGCAAATAATCCTTCACAAAAACTGCACAAGAAGGCATAACAAAAGATCTAAAACGATAGATTTACAGTACCTGGCTTCAGAATTATCTCAAAAGATTAAAATCTACATCAGATCAGTCGAAGAATTGAAATGGGACAATATCGAGGGTGGATGATCAGGGATACCAACTTTTAATCAGCTGCCTTGATGATTTAAATTCTTAATTGGAATCTCAAATTAATGAATCTATCTCAAGGTCAAAACAAATAGATACATTATTGTTGTATATGCAATATTAAGAGCAGTTCTAGTATTATGAATCTTACCTATAGCAAAAGATTGTCAATCTCTCAAAATCTTGTAAAATTGTATGTTGATGTGTGAAAACTTTTTTAGTAATATTTGAGGCTTGTACCTAATTAATGCGTTTTAAAATGTTTGAAATGTTCATGTCAAATTGGGGCTAACATTCATATTGTTCTTTAAAAAAAATGGTGTAGTATCTTCTTCTTCAAGTTCCACTCCTATCGGAGATTGGAAATCATTCTGCCAATTATAATTTTATTGGTTACTCGCCTGAATAGTTCAATTGAACTGCATCCAAACCACTCACGGAGATTGCGTAGCCACGAGATTTTACGTCTTCCTACGCTTCTTCTACCTTTGATTTTACCCTGCATTATATTCCTTAGTAGTTCGTACTTTTCACCTCTCATGATATGCCCCAAGTATTCATTTCCTGATCTTTATGGAATTTGAAACTTCGCATTGTTTTCCTAGTTGTTTGAGAACTTGTTCGTTTGTTTTGCGATCCATCCATGATATTTTCAAAATGCGTCGGTAACACCACATTTCGAATGCTTCTAGGTTTTTAATGTTGGATTTTTCAAGTGTCCAAGCTTCAACTCCATACAAAAGGGTAGAGAAAATATAACATCGAAGCATTCTTATCCGGAGCGATATATTGATATCGCGATTACAAAAAAGTTTTCTCATTCTATTAAAAGTTGACCGCGCAATTTCAATGCTGCATCTTATTTCTTTTGTCTGATCAGCATCTTCTGTGATCCTTGCTCCGAGGTATTTGTACGAAGATATTTGTTCAATTTCTGTATTATCTAGTACTAGCTTAACTTTGATGTTTTGATGTTGATGGTGTAGTATAATCTTATTCAAATATGAACATTATCAGTCAAGCTATATTTTAATTCAAAGAGTTATAAGGCTTTTTCCGAAATACTTTTATCTATTCATGCTTCGTCCACTGCTTTTTTCTCCACTTTTGTTTATTTTTCTTTTTAATTTTTCTTTCTTTAAATTTAACTTTTTAAGTACTTCTCTTAATTATACTTTAGCCTCTAGTTATCATGTTATTTATCTAGCAATGCCTTTCTTAATGCATTTCAATGGTAACAGTTCTTGATGAAATATTAGTACATATTCTATTTTAATGGCCTGCCCCTCTTCATAAAGCACAATATGCACCTGATTTTGACATTTTTTTTATCCTTACATCTGCCTCTGAGATTATCTTCATTTCTTGTAGTCTTTATAGATTACTCAGTTGTAGCCAATAACCAAACATTTTATCATTTAAATAAGAGTATGAAGTGCAAGTCTGTTAGAAATAATTTATGTTAAGCACTGCTACCTTTAAGTAACTAATGGATGAGTAAATTGCTTCAAATGATGTCTACCATGTTTATCGCTAATCTTATTTTTAAAATTGAGAAGGTACTTTTTATTGTATTTTAAGATCATTTTTGCCTTTTATACATTTAAAACTCTTTTTAAAATGGCCGCCGGTTGGATTCGTTTTATGTGCTATGAGTGAGCTGTTACTGATGTTAACTTCTTTCCACTTAGACATTCTCAGATTTTCATCTGTTTATCGTGTCCTTAACCCCATTTTTTTGTTTTTGACATGCTTTACACTACAAACGAGAATAGTAGAGGAGTATGGTATACGAATAAGTCGAAAAAATGCATTGATAATGCTTGTGTCAAGCTCCTCCCATTTTAAGATTGTCACCGGTCAGCTCTGATTGACTCATAGCGTCATATATGTCCAATTTACATCGTTTTACTTTACTTAACTGATATTTTCTTAAAGTTTCGTCCGTTAATCGTGTCTTTGAGCACAGCGCTTATGTTTCTTTTTAAGATGACTGCCGGTCTATTCTCATAGACTCTTTGTGCGATGGCGTCATAGGTATCAGCTTTAGGTCCATTTACATCTTTCCATATTACTAAACTTGGAAGTCTTTACATTTGCATCTATTAATCATATTTTCAAGACTAATTTGTTCTTTATATCATTTTTACATCGCAAAATTTCTTACAGGGCGCTTCTCCTTTTTCATGATTATCGTCCATGCTCTCGGATTATCTGTCAATGCGTTACATAAACTTATATATAAATTAAACCGAGCAAATCGGCAGTTTCCAATGTCAATAAGATCTTTCAACTAATTTCCTCTATCTCTCCCTAGCTCCTTATTTTATTTTACCCTCTATCTCGTCTTGATATCAAGGTCTATGTATATAACCAATCCACTTCCAGAGACAGAGGAAAAAAGTTTAAGAAAGATGGTCCCGTCACTTTGCCTGATGAAACACACAGTCTATTTATATATGTATATGGTGCGCTGACATCTTAGAAGTTAACTTTTGTTTAATTTGTCACATTATCATCAGTTGGTACCTAAATTTTTAAATGTACATGGATGCAGTGCATATAACACTCAAGAAGCTTTTTGCTCGTATCCATTACAGAATGAAAGAACTATTAGAACGTTTAGCAGAACAAGAGTGCAATTCAGTTTTGTTTTTTTGGTTTCTTAATAAAAGTTTCATATTAACAACTGTCACCAAAATTCCCGTCCCGTTTCCACGTAATTACAATAATGGGAACCACCAATATCTCCTTTGTCTAGCATAAATCCAATTTCTAAACGGTGAATTCTCAGAAAACGAAAAATGGTATGACATATAGGACATTTTGTGTACTATAAGACAGTTTTTGATATGTCACGACCGGATAGAAAGTAATTCATATCAGAGTTGCGCTCTTGAACGACAAAACGTTCTGATTGAGGGGTAGCTCTGTAGGAAAGGGCCCGAGTGGCGCACATCTACTATATCGGTTGGATACGGGCACTGCCCTTTTGGTTGCCCGCTCCAATATTTAGTCCCACAGTGTTTCGTACGACCCAACGAAGCGAAAAAGGCCGCCGACGACGCCAAGATGAGGTTCGCCCACATCGACGGAGACCACCTCACGCTGCTCAACGTCTACCATGCTTTTAAACAAAGTAAGTACTGTTTTATAAGTGTAGTAACGTTAAAGTAAGTTCCTATAATACGTTAAGCCGTTTAGGCACGGCAAGTTCAAAGCCTTTATTTCACGCTGCCATCTTGGATTTTCTATGTCATCGTATTCTACTCGTTAAATCCTATCCTGAGTATATAGCAGAGTCCGGTTAAAAAAATAGATGAAAAAGTACTCGTATTTTTACCTTGCGTTTTTTTTTAACAATAATTAATGGTCTCAATTTGATTTTTTGTCCAAGTTTTTTCCCTTATATTTTACATAAGCAATATTTATATAATCTTTTTATATCAAAAATATCTTAATTTTCCCTTTTTTTAAATTAAAATTGATAAATAGTTTACGTTAATATTTCCAAAAAAGCTGTTTTTTTTGCACTATATTCCCTAACTAACGCATGTTGGGTAAGGGTCCCTTGTCCACAACAGTCAAGTGACGAGCAGGGGTCACCAAATCATTTCTGTAACGAAAATTGTAGCCACTTATTAAGGAAACATCATTTCTTGCAAATAAAATTACATCTATGTGACTTTACATAAACAACGCAACTGAAAATATACAGCGAAATTACAGTTAAAATATTTAATTGTTTAAAAACTGGTCTACAGAAATCCAAGCGCCTTCTAAATGTCATGATACGAATAATTTTTTTTTTGAAGAACAAGCACCTCATTAATTCGCGAGCAATTTCCCCAACAAACTAAGCAATATTGCAAAATTGACTACATTGACATGAGCAAAAAAATAGTAAAGTTTTAAGATATCAAGAGATACAAAATTCCTAAGTTGCCATAGAACATAACAGTGTACAGACAATCTTCCTACTACATAATCAACGTGAGAACTCCAAGACAAATTATAATCCAGGTAAACACCTAACAACTTAGTGGAGTGGCTATTTACCACAGACCCATTGTCAAGCTTTACTAACTTGCTCATCTGCATAGGAGAAGGTGAAATGGTTACCATATTGGTCTTTGATCCATTTAAGATTAGGGCATTATTTAAACAGTAATGAGTCATACTCTTTACAAGACAGTTTGCTTTTTGTACTACATGAAAAATTATTGGAATTTAGTGCAACTGTGGTATCGTCAGCAAATTGAGTGACATAATAGCCTGATTGCTGTTCCAAGTTTTCTACTCGAACGCTTATTGCATCAGAAAAATTATCTAATGGATTCCGAACCAAACATGTTGTGCTATCGTTTATCAGTTGATTTAAATCATTGACGAAAATCAAAAATAAAAGAGGGCCAATGATACTTCCCTGTGGAACTCCGGAGAGGACACTTTCTTCTGAAGAAAATATTATATTCCCATTCACATTGACCTTAATTTTTTGAAACCTTTTCGATAAAAATTTTTGGATCCACTTTAACGTAGTTCCTCTAACACCACTATGATAAAGTTTTTCCAGCAGTATTGGACGATTTACAGTTTCAAAAGTTCGTGCTAAGTCAAAAAACAAACAGATAACTTTATTACCCTTATCAAAGTTCGATACAATATATAGTTTAAGTCTTAAAGAACATTTAAAAGACGGCAATTCCTCGATTATCAAATGTATTAATAACATTTTATTTTGTTAATAAAAAAATAATAAAATTTATAAATTAGTGCAAAAAACTGCTTTTTGAAAATATCTCCGTAAATTATTTATCAATTTTAATTTAAAAAACGGGAAAATAAAGATATTCTAGATATAAAAAAATAATATAAATATTGTTTTTGTAAAATATAAGGGAAAAAACTTGGACAAAAAATCAAATTGAGGCTATTAATTATTGTTAAAAAAAAACGCAAGGTAAAAATACGAGTACTTTTTCATCTATTCGTCATCTAGTAACCCCCACCTATGTCTTAAAAGCTTCAGATATCTGCGAAAAATTTTGCCGTGAAATTGATGATTTTTGCATAACCAGACTGGGCTAATAAGAGCAAAAAGTAATGCCCTGGACTTAATAACAGTTCCTAATATTTACTATATGTTCCTAAATCACATACTTGACCAGTGATTATACATTTTTTATTCATTCAACTCATCACCTTTCTCATCATTCCTCTCGTGACAACTATTAAGGTCAAAGCAAACAACCATAATATACAACCACAATACAACCAATACATAATTAAACTTGTGAATGTATTTATGAAATTCCGTTATGCTTATAGTCCCTTATTTTTGTCTATTTCTTCTCTTTTCTCCTACACAATTCCTAAATATTAAGCAAATATAATTTAGAGATATTTATTCAAGTTGATATGCGCCACTGAATGAATTTTCAGCTTCCAATCGTATAGCCGGTGACTCGGGATTAAAATACTTTCATCATAAATGACGTTTGCAATATGTGTTGCACGTAGTTTACTATAATCGCTGACAGTATACTTGATATATACAATTATAGTCGTAGATAAATATATTAACTCAACCATATAAATATTTTCGTGTGATACAGGTATGGACGACCCTCAATGGTGTTACGACAACTTCGTCAACTACCGTTCCCTCAAATCTGCCGATAACGTGCGACAACAGCTATCCAGGATAATGGATAGGTTCAATCTAAAAAGGACGTCCACCGAATTTACGAGTAAAGATTACTATATAAATATTAGGAAAGCACTCGTTAACGGCTTTTTCATGCAGGTAAGTTTGAAGTTTTTTTTAAGATTTTTTTTGCAGAAAGCTTAACGTTAAATAATACGATTGCATCAAAAAGAGTCAAAGTTACATAAATCGAACTTACATATTTCGAATTTTCCGCGTTTCTAATAGTTTCACCGCTCGGTAAAAGAAGTCGCTTTACACAGAAAATAAACCGTGAACAATATTGTCATTAGTGCACACTGGTTCATCTAGTTTGCTAAAATATTGGTCCTCCGAGCCGGATTTTTATCGGTTGTCTAGTAAAATCGTATAAAAAACATCCAAACTCATACTTTATAGCGTAGACTAGAGGTTTTACTTTAAGTGAGAGAATATGGCGAATAACAAAATCTTCTAATCTTCGGAACTCCGTGACGAGAGGCACCTTAAGAATGGGATTGCATTGTAGGACGGGCTGGCTTTAAATAAATTAAAAAAAACTAAAGTAATTGTGCAAAAAGTGGACAAAAGTGAATACATTTCCTTTGTTTCGTTCTTAGTTACTTCCAGTAAAAATGTCAAACCCTCTCGTCCGTCGTTGTCAAGGCAGAACCTTAGTGTCGAATTTTCTAGGAGCCGTTACAGGTCCGACTTAGATTACAATACAGTTTCAATAATGCCACCCAGCAATATCCATAATAATTATGACAAAAATAAGAAAATAATAGTTTCTTATTCCTTTCAGGTCGCTCATCTTGAAAGAACCGGACATTATCTTACAATTAAGGACAACCAAATAGTACAACTACATCCATCCACTTGTCTAGACCACAAACCTGAATGGGTAATTTATAATGAGTTTGTGTTAACTACAAAAAATTATATTAGAACTGTTACTGATATAAAACGTGAGTATTAGGTTATATATTGGCTTTATGTTACATATTTTTCATGTCATATGTTTCAATGTGTCCTTAATAGTTTCTGTTATAAATATGGAGAGAAGCTGCGATGATATGAGGATATTTCAGCATATTAAAGAACTTTGTAAATGAATTGCGTTAAAATATTCTAGTCGATATAAACTGAACTTTAGTTAAATATAAGAAACATATATTAAATTTTTCCATTTTGGAGTAGCAAACAGAAAATCTTGAAGAATATATCTGGACCTGAGTATTAAAAGAGCCAAACTTCATTTTCGTTGTTTTGACTAATAAGCAATTTAAGTTTCAGAAAAACTTAAATGTCAATTTTAAATTTGGTAAAGTAGATTTTTGATTACTAATAACGAAATTTCAAGTAAAGTAAAAGTAGTATTTTTTATTACTAAATATTGTGTTGTCAAATGTTTAGTAAGTTTGAATTTTGAAGGAGCTTAGCCCTTTAAAAATATTCATACACTTCTTGAAAATTAACTTTATTCAACCCCAACAATATTACAATACTTTAACCAACTGACAACTATAAACTTCAACATTCAAAATACAACTGTTCCCCAACTGTCAAAAAGATCTGTCATATATAAAATTGGCCAAATATATGGCCTAGGAGGACAAATTCGTTAAACTTCCCGTGCTCGAATCGGTATCACTAAAGTGTTATGATCATTTCAGCCTATCCCAGCTATCGTCAGACACTTGGGCTGATACAAATTCAAACACGGAAAGTAGAACGAATGTCTCCTAAAGCTTCACCACTGCAGTGGTTTGCGAGCAGAGGCGCCACCTGCTTTGGCGGCCGTGAACGAAAACGATATAATCACGATCGTTTTCTACCTCTGGGCTATGCGAAATGTGTAAAGAATAAATCTTTTAGCAAAAAGCTGCTATCGCTTTGTTGTATTAAATTGGCCAAATATATGGCCTAGGAGGACAAATTCGTTAAACTTCCCGTGCTCGAATCGGTATCACTAAAGTGTTATGATCATTTCGGCCTATCCCAGCTATCGTCAGACACTTGGGCTGATACAAATTCAAACACGGAAAGTAGAACGAATGTCTCCTAAAGCTTCACCACTGCAGTGGTTTGCGAGCAGAGGCGCCACCTGCTTTGGCGGCCGTGAACGAAAACGATATAATCACATCGTTTTCTACCTCTGGGCTATGCGAAATGTGTAAAGAATAAATCTTTTAGCAAAAAGCTGCTATCGCTTTGTTGTATTAAATTGGCCAAATATATGGCCTAGGAGGACAAATTCGCTAAACTTCCCGTGCTCTAATCGGTATCTCTAAAGTGTTATGATCATTTCGGCCTATCCCAGCTATCGTCAGACACTTGGGCTGATACAAATTCAAACACGGAAAGTAGAACGAATGTCTCCTAAAGCTTCACCACTGCAGTGGTTTGCGAGCAGAGGCGCCACCTGCTTTGGCGGCCGTGAACGAAAACGATATAGTCACATCGTTTTCTACCTCTGGGCTATGCGAAATGTGTAAAGAATAAATCTTTTAGCAAAAAGCTGCTATCGCTTTGTTGTATTAAATTGGCCAAATATATGGCCTAGGAGAACAAATTCGTTAAACTTCCCGTGCTATAATGTCCAATGCTCACTGGATATTGGCCCTTTAGTTAAGTAGTGTGAGCAATTCTCTGTGAGCTTTGGTCGTTTACCTTTAAACTGATTTGAAGATAAGCCCGAAATTAAAATTAAGAAATTGTCAACCATTCATACAAGAAGATTGGCCTTGTTTAAATTGAAAGCTTTTAATATTATAATTTTTGTGATGATACTAACTCAATAAAGGCACAAATGGGGTTTGGCTCGTTTAATACGCAGGTGAAGATATTTGTTTAATGCTTTGGTCGTCTGTACAATCCCATTAAGGTCATAATGTGCTCCATTTTTGCGTTTTAGTGTCCCTTTGAGCTTCGGCTTCACGTTATTATTATTAGATTACATTATAATGTTATCTGTTTTGTTTTAGCTGATTGGCTATTGAAAATAGCCCCACAGTATTACGATCTGAACAACTTCCCGCAATGCGAAGCAAAACGACAGTTAGAAATTATCCAAAATAGATTAGAGTCAAAGCAATTTCAACAAGGCTTTTAAGGCTACAAAATATAATAGGAGTATTTGTATCGTAACCTTGTTCGAGTTTATCGCATCATATTATGATTATTTAATTATAAAGTGACACAGAATGTATTATTAATAATTTCATTCCATAATAAATAGAGGTAACTCTTAATGGAGTTACTAAACAGTTTTGTGGTTTGTATTTTCTCTTGTCTATGTTTAAAAAGTTAAAATTTATACTTCACACGATTAAAAAACGAGATTAACTTTGTACAGAACTATCTACAGATTAATTAGGTTTTTGTAAACGACATTTACTACTGATTACTGACTTTCTCCTATTACTGACTTTCTGCTATGTCCAAGCCTTAGGGGAGGCTAATGCCCGATTTCACCAACGATACCTAAACAGTTGCCTTCAAAAGTAATTCTTATCCAAAAGAACTTCCTAAGTCAATACTTAGGAACACTAGCGTTTCACAACTAATAGAACTGCTTATCTAGGAAATTCTTTCTTAGGTATTACTTTGGGTACGTTTGAACTATTATTGATAAATAAAAACAAGAATAAGAAGTCATAACCTTACTTTTTTATTTGTTATTTAATTGTTTCTTTTCCAAGTTGGTTTTATTCATTTATAGTTATTTTAATTAGAAGTTGGTTATTTGTACATAAGGTTTGTTTAGTTTTGTAAATTATTTATATACGTCTAGTGAAATGGAGGAAAATAAAAGGGCTGTAAATTTCATATTAAATAGACGGAGAGCATATTAAATAAAATTAAAAATGAGTTGATTACAATGTTATATTATACAGTATAATACATTTTTTATCTAATTTTAATTTCAGAGAATGAAGAAGTGCCACCAGCTCTATTGTCATTATTGAAATAATTTTAAAATAAAACATATCTTGAAAATTGTTTTTTATTTTATATTTTTAATAATAAACTTTTAATGAAATCATGAATGGGTTTTTGAAAGAAAATACCAGTTTGTTAGGTAGAATATTATTTTCTATTTGTTCCAACACATATAAAACTGTTGGTTTAGACACTCGAAACCTTCTAAAAAAATCCGCATCGTCCAAAGTTTCAAAATAATTTGGTCGATTCTTGATAACTTGAGGTCTTCTTTCTGTTTCTTCTTCAGAATCAGATCAGGAATCGAATCGATCTAGATTTTCGATAAACTGTAGTGCTTCCATATTATAAATAGTACCAAAGTAACAATTAATTAATATAAAATAATACAAAAATAACTAACTATAGAGTAACAACACACAAATTACGGTAAGAAGCAAATTATGGACAAATTTCACATCACAGTTCATCCGTCAAAACTTAAAACATAACCTCACTTTTAACTATAAGTAATATCTAAACTGTTTAGGGAGATCGCAAAACGTATCCTACCATTAGGTAATGTTTAAACGGTTTAGGCAATTCTTAGCGTATGGTGAAATCCGCTTTAGAGTTAGGAAGTACCTAAGCCCGCTTAGGTAATTCTTTAATATTTAGGTATCGTCGGTGAAATCGGGCATAAGTCCTTAACCTATCTTCCTACCCATTTTTAAATCCTTACCACATCCCGATATATTCCGCTACCAACAAGCGCTGGCCAGCGTGGTAGTGATCTGGCTAATTTTCCCCGTAAATGACATGCCACAAATTAGAAAAAGGCCCTTAGTCCCCGGCGGCCCAACGGTCCCTGGTGACGGTAGCCACCAGATTGGCCAAAGGGAAGAGGGTGCAAAGAATCACCGGGATAGACACGGCTACCATGGACAACTAACATTGCATATTGCCACTTATAACGTAAGAATGCTTGCAACTAAAGATAAGCTCATGGAATTACAGGAAGAACTTAACTGCATAAAATGGGATGTATTGTGACTTTCCGAGATACAAAGAAAAGGAGAAAACCAATTAATTTTAAAATCAGTGCATCTGCTACATTCGATTGGAGAAAACGATAAGGCAATTGGCGGCGTAGGCTTTCTCGCGCACAAGAAACACCTAGATAAACTTATAAAAATAGAGAGTGTAAGCTCAAGAGTTGTGTACCTCATATTAAAAGTGAACGAGAGACGCTCTATTAAAATTATCCAAGTATATGCACCCACGACGAGCCATAGCGATGAAGAAATCGAAAACTTTTATGAAAATATTAGTAGAGCTATAAAAAAGATAAAACCCACCAACTAATCTTAATGGGCGATTTTAACACTAAACTTAGATTTAAAGAAGATAACGCAGAAGTGGCTATGGGCTCATTTGGATACGGTGAGCGAATTGATAGAGGAGTGCTACTACATTTTTTGTTACATCATCAGCTCTATATGATGAACACATTTTTGAAAAAGAACCAACAACGTAAGTGGACGTGGGCTACAAATATTAGACATATCCAATATATCTCTCACCCTCTGCAATCTTGTCCAACAGTTGTTTTTTTTTTAAATCATTACTTACAACTTAAGTAAAATTGAATAATATTTATAAAGTAAAATTGAATAATATTTAAATACAGCTTTAAAGGAAATGAAGAACCATCGATCGCTTGGTGATGATGGACTCGTTATCGAGGCAATAAAAGCAGGTGGAGAAATTTTATTAAAATCAGTAAGCGAACTGTTTACTAAATGCTTACATGCGGGTACGATTCCAAAAGACTGGAACAATGCAGTAATAGTCTTGTTACACAAAAAAGGCGATATTACTAAATTAGAAAATTATAGACCCGTCAGCCTCTTGACACATATGTACAAACTCTTTATGAAAATCTTAACAAAGAGGCTAACACCTAAACTTGATTTCTATCAGCCCAAAGAACAGGCAGGCTTTAGGGCAGGATATGGCACAAATGACCATTTGCATACCATAAAGATCTTAATAGAAAAGTGCATCGAGTACAACATACCACTGGTTCTTGCATTTGTCGATTATGAGAAGGCTTTTGATTCTGTAGAGTTTGAAACAATACTGGAAGCCCTAAATCAAAGCCGAATAGATTACAGGTACACGACACAAATCAAAAACATCTATCAGAACGCTACATCAAGTATACGACTGCACGAAGACACAGAAAAATTCAGCTTAGGTCGAGGAGTTAGACAAGGAGACAATATTTCACCAAAATTGTTCACGGCAGCTCTAGAGTCAATATTTAAGGGTACTCAATGGCAAGATATGGGCATCAATATAGATGGAGAAAGATTAAATCACCTAAGGTTTGCAGATGATGTTGTATTAATCGCAGATAACTTACATGATACAGTTTCTATGATGCATTCGCTTAAAAGTCTGTCTGAAAGAGCAGGATTAAAGATAAACTTTGAGAAAACTAAAATTATAACAAATCTCGTAATGAGTGGAAATATAACTATTGACAATAATACCATACAACAAACAGACACTTACAAATATCTGGGACACGAAATCAAAATAAGCAGAGACAATCAAACACATTAAATACAGAGGCGAATAGGTCTAACATGGGCAGCATTTGGCAAATTAAGCCATATTCTAAAAAGTTCAATTCCCATGTGTCTCAAGCGAAAGGTTTATAACCAATGTGTTTTACCTGTACAAACTTATGGAGCAGAGACTTTAACACTCACGCAAAAATCTGCGAATAAACTTAGAGTTACACAACGAGCCATGGAACGTGCAATGCTGAACGTGAGCCTTCGAGACCACATAAACCAACAAATCAGGCGAAGATCAGGAGTTCAAGACGTCATCGAAAGAACCACGACGCTTAAGTGGAACTGGGCAGGGCACTTAGCCAGAACACAAGATGGACGGTGGACAAGACGTATTATGGAATGGAGGCCCAGAAATTATAAAAGAAGCCGAGGACGACCACCGACTAGATGGACCGATGACATTAAACGTGTAGCGGGAAACTGGCTACAAGCGGCCCAATGTAGAGAACACTGGAAAGAACTGAGGGAGGCCTATGTCCAGCAGTGGACGCGATTGGCTGATTGATTGATTGATGATGAAGTAAAATTGAAAGCTGAAACTTTTGCATATTACATCTGGAGATAACCAACACCTAAGCTGTGCTTATACCACTGCAATCTGGTCGCAGTTGATCAATTATCAATTCTTATTTGACTTAAATTTCCAATAGGCCAATTAAGTTAGTGTTGTTCTCGACAAAACTGTATAGACGGGTTTGGCCATTGAAATGTGCAGAATGAAGTATTACAAAAATACTCTCATCTAGATATTCATTAATTTTTTAGTGGAACCATTTTTAAATAAACAATCATGACGTCACACTCATTATTTTGTTCACAACTTAAAAACTTGTGTATTTATAGATTTGACATCAACAGACAACTTTTTCAGATCAACAAATACACAAAATGAGATGCTAAATTAAAATTAGTAAATAAACAAAAAAGTTAGTGCAAAATGAATAATAAAATCGCTGTTTTTGGATAGTGTTAATAACTTTTTGTATCTTTTATTAAAATTTATTTAAATGTGTTAAAAATAGTTTTTGCGAAATTTAATTTCTTTATATGATTTTTTGAAAAATCAGCTAATTTCTACAGCTGGTCCAGATCATTTGACTGAACAGATCTCAATAATCAGGACTGTTCAAAAAGGGTGTACATATGTGAAATGATGAGTATAATTTCAGTGTATAAGGACTGTATTACATAGGGCTGCTTCAAATAAATTAGGATATGTTGTAAAAGGTTATACAGACAATAGCAAATTAAGTTTATACAAAGTCTTACCAATATTGTTTCTGTGCAAACACTCGCGGTATTGACAGGCGTTCACTCGCGATTGTTTTTTGTACAGGAAGGCTGTTCGGGTTACCGGTTTTTGAACATGTATCTAGCGGTACTAACACTGAGATCACGAGATAGAGCACATTTTAACGATAGAGTACACGATTTAAACAATATTTGCGGTATTTTTCGCGTAACTAACAGCGGCCGAGAGAGAGAATGTTTGTTGTTAGCGGTATTCAACAGTAGGGAAGAGAGCGTCTGTCTTCACCGATAGCCAACAGACAGGAGAGAGTCCGTTCTCAACGATAGGGAACAGGCAAGAGAGGGTGTACGTCTGCCTAGCGCGACTCGCAGACGAAAGAGAGCGACTTCTTTTTTGCTATGTTACAACTGTCTGTATTTCTAATGGAGTGGGGTTAAAATGTGA